GCTCTACAAACGATGGCAGCCACTGTATAACACCATTCAAGCCTGTGTTTATCCTTACGTTGAATTTCATCAAGGCATTCCTTCTCACCTTGAAAAGGATGCGTTTCTGGACCCCTGTGTTGTGAACGTGGTTATCCTCGATGACTTAATGTCTACTGCCAGCAAAGATCCACGCATTACAGATCTTTTTTACCGAAGGAAGTCATCATCGTAATCTCTCAGTCATAGCCTTGAACCAGAATTTGTATTACAGTAAGGATCCCACACAACGAAGAAACTGTCATTTTCTTCTTCTGTTCTACAACAATATTGACCAACAACCCATCATGACTTAAAGGTTTAAAAGGAGGCCTCCAAGCTAGGACATTTCAGTCCGAGTTAGACGTTCAGAGTGAGCAGACGTGTGAAGAAAACCTCCCAACAATGCCATCTTGTGATGACTGTGGACTCGTGTTTCAAGACGTGAATATTTTGCAAAAACACAGAAGAAACTGGTGTCCTGAAAAGTCTTCAGTGGGTCCACCTGAAATATCCCCAGTGAAAAGGAAGTGGGAGGAAGAAGACAACTTCTCTGCTGTGAAGAGACCACGTCCTCTGTCAGATTGTGACTATTGTGGTCAAGTGTTTAGCAATAACCACAACTTACAAAGACATTTACAGGATAAACAATGTCCCGAAATGGAAACTGATGATGATGATGAATCATTAAACGATGTCACACACGGCAACAGGAATACTGAAACAAGTACAAGACACGAATAATCTTTATCATGACGTGTTTTCCAAGCTGTACCAATATAAATCTTGGGTAGAAGACTTAACTGATGATGATTATGAAGACATGACATCTGATGTAGAGAGTGAAGGACAAGACGTTGAGGAAGGGCAATAATACAATTAGCACAACATGTAAAAGTAGACATTTGGGAGAGCTCCTACCTAAAGCCTACTAATTTGAAATGGAGCTAATAAACAATGAAATCTGTATATCGTTCTTGTTTCTTAATGTATTGTACCCGTGAAGGTGCGGGTTAGAATGAACCTTCAGTAACCCATGCTTGTCGTAAGAGGCGACTAACGGGATCTGGTGGTGAGGCTCGCTGGCATGATTGACACATCTCATCATCATATCCCAATTGGGTAGATCGATGCTCATGCTGTTGATCACTGGATTGTCTGGTCCAGACTCGATTATTTACAGACCATATAGCTGGGATATTACTGAGTGCAAGATAAAACTAAACTCACTCACTCGCTTAATGCATTGCTGGAGGATTGTACAACTGTTCCTTGTACAAATCTTTGTTTTACAACTGATAAATAATCCTCCCTATGTCACTGAATACATTTAAGCTACAATACAATTCTTAACACAAGGAGGTCCTAACCTCTTCATACCCCACACAATACAGTCACAAGAAGCTTACACCAGTATTTCATTGTACTGTCTGTGGAATAAGAGCGGCTAACGGCATGTGAGTAACATATGTGTCACATGATGTCAAATAGTGTCATAAACATGGACATAAGATGGTGTTTTTTATGTTTGAAATTTGAGAGTAAAGTTTTAAAATGTTGAGTAAAAGTGAAAGTTTTACAGGTGAACAGGCTTATCATGTGTCCCAATCTGTAAAACAATCTTTTGTGCATCTACCTCACTCTATTAGTCTCATACCAAGAACTTAGACAGTGTATGTGGAGTACTGCTTTCAGCAGCTAAGAAAAATAACTTACTTCATTATGTATTTGTCTACATCTGCACAGGAGAATTCCCGGAGAAACATAAGTGGAGAAAGATTGTAGTAAATGAAATAAGTAACCACGAGGAAGAAGTTTGGAAATATAAACTATCATGCAGAGCTGACGTGTCCAGATCTTCTAAAATCCATACAGCACTTTCACCTCATTTTTTATACAGCATGGCATTGTTATATCCAGAACTGAGAGAAGAATTGCAATATGTAATAAGGATTGAATCCGGAAGCAAACTATCAAAAGAATGTAAAAAATGTAATACCTTCGCTAACGATTTCTATCACCATGTTATCCTAAACTGTGGATCTCTACTTTCAGAGAGAGATGTATTTTTCTCAACTCTAATCGATAATCTTGATATTTACATGTATATCAAAATAAGAGATAATGGAAGAGCATTACATGCTGGCATTCTTTCTTTGGGCCAATAACAATGATATTGATGAAATAACAAGGCATTTCACTATTATAGAATTCTCAAAGTATTTGTATAAACTAAAAGATATCCTCAATTTACATATGGTTAATAATCTAGCCAATACCTGACTGTAAGTAACCTGTATATATTTGGGGAAATGTTCCCATATTCTATGTATGTACATGTATACATATATGTGTGTGTGTGTGTGTATGTTTGTTGAGTATTCTGTTAATTATATAATTATATAACCATGATGTTTTGAGGATCTTCGGACCTATCTGGAGGAAATAAAGACATTCATTAATTCACTCATTTCATCACTGTACAATCAAACTACTTGAGATATTCAGTGACCAGTAGGATGTAGCTTATCTCGTTGACTTAAGATAGTGCTCACCGGCGCTCGCCGGAAAAGGCAAACAAACCGCGTCGCGTGAGGTATTGACATACCTACCGTCTTATCTGGTAAACCTACGGGGACCTGCATTTTGATGTTTCTTTCATTCCTTTGATCTTCTCTATTTATGAATATACCCCACACGCACAGATTAAACACACCCGTCAACGGGGCATAGTACATGCATAAAAAAACACCCTCAAGACCAGACGTTTGTGAAGGTCTACGTTTGTTTTAACACGGGGATTTGATCTAATGCTACCCACTTGCTAAATTAACTGCGATGTATTATCAATTGTCAATGAATATTAACAGGTACAATCGTTTATTGTCGACAGATATCGAAACATTAAGAATTGTTGCTTGTGTGACAGCGTATTTTAAACTGGCTAGAGATTTAACAAAATGCGCCCTGATATTTTGACCCAATAAATAGCAGCTAAATTTCGAAATGAGGTCAACCTGAAGGTCACACACACACACCAGTAGGGGACTCCCGAAGGAGGATGGGTCACACAAAGGTCACAGCTATGTTACGTCATAAAAACAAAATGGCGGATATGAACCAGAACCCCCCCCCCTCTTACAACACATGTAATCAACCAAATATATAATGTGACTCTTGTTAAATTGAATCCCGCAATATAAGCTGCATGTGCATTATTATGAAAATTGATGCGTATCATTCTGATATCATCCAGGTAACAATACATTACAGTGTGGAAACAATTCATGACGTTCTGTGACCCCAAACTCGAACTTCACACTGATAGATCAGCTGAAACAGATGAAGTCAATAACGAGCGTGATCACGTAGGGCGACAGTGACGGCAACAGAACGTGTCGTGAACAGGGGAACCTGACAGAACACTCTCAACAGAATGTATCGCCTTCGCTCAACGGACCCTTGATCAAGGATCTTACAAGGGCTGGGACTGATTGATTTGCTGCCCAGATCGAACTCCCAGCTCATTGATGGATTCGACCCGGAACGGAAAAGCCAGTCCATCACATCAACAATGGCGTTTCGTAAGAAGTAGCGTTGTCATTTGAAATGTAGTCCAGAACAGTGTTGTAGCATGATGAAAAGGCATAGGTCAAATTGAGATTGCCCTCTCAATGGAGATCGGTCGTTGGCACAATACAAATCCCAAACCTAAAGCTTCCCAGTCGCGGCGTAGCACAATCCATGACCAAACAGGCCACATGTCATTGTCATGTGAGGTGAGGTGAGGTGAAATTGGGTTTATCGTCGTGCTTGAGAATATTTCGTGCATGCGTGTGTATGTGTATGTGCTGCTGCTTGTACTAGCCCAGACTTAAGCTCGTTTTATAGTGCTAGCCCACTGAGATACCATGCCGCAGTGAATCATGAATACCCAACTCAGACAAATTATACTGACTCCGAGCCGACCAGTCCTTGTTGTACCCATTAATGCCGAGCGCCAGGCATGAACCAACAAGTACCATATTTTAACGTCTTTTGGTATGACCCAGTCGGGGATCGAACCCGCGACCTTCCGCTCTCCGGCCATTGTCATGTGATTGGCACAGCATAAAAGCAAAACATCATTTATATCCTACTCCTTCCCCAGTTTGTTTAGCTCTTGCTCGGGCAATGCAAAATTCCACACTCGTTGCGTACAAGGCATATGACACACTTGCTCGTGTAATAATCTGTCTGTATGAGTATTTGTATCATGGAGAGAGGACCGGATCACTGAGATGGTCTCGAACGCCTTGTGACACATGCCTGTGTACATCATTTTACATTTACTTTTACGATTATGATCAGTGCTTTTTTTGAGTGGAAATCGGAGAGACTGCGAGTGGAAAGTGTTTGACTCTCAAGTCAAAGAAAAAGAAATATCCACACCTCCAGAGAGAACTGTCCACCCTGAAACATAGACTTGCGCTTGGAGACATTGATATGTTGTAACTACTTAGATCGAGTATGGAATGAATGATATGGAATTGAACTAGCTTGAATGTTTGAATATGTGTAACAGAATTGTAACTCTATAGTGATATTGATGAAACAATTAATCAATCTTGTCAGAATTAAATTGTACATATAATAGAATACATATTTGTAACTGGTAATGTTTGGTGCAATATTTAATATATTGATATTTCATATGATAAGTTTTCATCAAATAAATTATGTCATGAAATGTTAAATATTAGTTTAGACTTATTTCGTTTCTTTACCACTTCAACTTTTTTTATCAACCTTGTGCGTGTTAAAACATAGAACGGCCTTTGTTTGTCTTTTGAAGGTAATCCCCCACAGGCTCACTCCTGTGTTTTTAGAATTCTACTTCATGGGAACTAACCTCTAAAATGTGTGCGAACTAATAAATCATATCCAAAACAGTGCTTTGTACACAAATCTACGTACTTCCTGGTAAACATAGTCGACCGTTGTTTCACCGACACTGCATTCAAGGTGTGAGCCTTTCAACAGATCTACAAGGACTCACCACTCACAGGCATCCACGGTAGAGGGGACAGTAGCGTGGTCAGCTGCATCATGCGGACAACGTTCAACTTACTGATTCTGCTATTTCTTTGGATGGAAGGTGGGTTTCCAAAATGGCATATTTTTTTAGTAAACTTGAAAACAGTGAAAGAATGGATAAATTAAACATGCTATAATACCTCGAACTGTCTGGAAGTGTATCGGTGTATAGATTGTATCGGGGACCAGTTCAGTGCCTTGAGCATGTACTATTTGCGTGGATATGTGTGCTATATAAATATCCTATAATAATATTAAAATAATGCTTTTAATTAATTTAAAAATTGTTCTTGATTTATGCCGTTCAGCATTATCCCAGCTTTAATGACGGAAGTATGGCCCATTGTTTTTGCCCCTGTAGTCGTCATGGAATAATTACGTTGTACACGCTCTCCACGTCTTACTTCCAGCGTCTGAAGGTGGCTGGACTTGTAAACAGTACCTCTCCCACGGTAGTAGCTTTTACATCACTTACTACTGCCCTCATTACTGCTGCGGTTCACTATATGACGACGACTGCTGCTTCTACGACCCACGTAGTTCCTGGAGTTCTTGGACCACTTCGAGCACTTCGAGCCCGTCGCGCTGGAGTGGGTAAGTCACATATATGTACGTACATGTTTGCCATGAGGCCACAGAATAGCAGGATATTAGTGAAAGCTCTTCTTGTGTAGTGTCTAGTTGTGCTATCATATCACATTGTCTTGTGCACGTCCCAGCCATCTTCTTGTTATATCACACCTTCTTGCTCACTTTCTTATGATTACTTCATCTCATTATGGGTAAGCCCGAGCTGCCCTGGGGCGATCCGGTAGCCTAGTGGCTAAGGCGTTCGCTCGTCATGCCAAATACCTGGGTTCGATTCCCCACGTGGGCAAAAATGTGCGAAACCCATTTCTGGTGTCCCCCGCAGTGATATTGCTGGAATATGGCTACAAGCTACAAGCGGCGTAAAATAAAACTCATTCACTCACTCACTCAGAGCTGCTATGTTAAATTACATCTTCATGTGTAGTTCCTAGCCATATCGTCATGCTATCATTCCTTATTATGTAGCTTCTACTTTTGCCGTTATTGTATGGCATCTACTTCTGTGGCTCCTTGACATGTACTGATGACACATTTTCTTTAGTAGCTCCAAATCATATTATTGTACAATCTCACCTTAAGTGTCTCTGTGTGAAGTCTGTTTATAACTTCTCTTCTTATGTTCCTCTGTGTGACTCAGTGATATTACATGTTCACCTACAGTTCATACACGTCTACCTATTCTTGTGTAGCCCTGATTGCCTTCATATTATTGTCAAGGTGTCATATATTCTCGTCTACCTCCGAGTAGTGTCATCATGATGTCACACATTCTTGTGTACCTCCGAGTAATGTCATCAAGATGTCATATATTCTTGTGTACCTCCGAGTAATGTAATCATGATGCCACATAGCTTGTGTACCTCCGAGTAATGTCATCATGATGTCACATATTCTTGTGTACCTCCGAGTAGTGTCATCGTGATGTCACCATAGTGAAATATATTCTTGTGTACCTCCGAGTAATGTCATCGTCATAATGTCATATATTCTTGTGTGCCTCCGAGTAATGTCACCATTGTGAAATATATTCTTGTGTACCTCCCAGTAATGTCATCGTCATTATGCGTTATCACATTTTTATAATTCTTTTTGTTTTAGATCTCTCATTGTGTCTCATCCTTTCGTGTAATTTTGAATAATCTCGTCAGCAATTGATTAAATTGTACATACCAAGAAACGTTTCCAGATAGCAATATGAAAAAGGATAATTGTGATACACGTGGTCATATTTGCCATTTCTCGAATTTTCAGTTGTCCGTATTGAAGTGTTACCATGACTATGGCCATTTTCAGTCAAACTGAATATATTGTTCGAGACCTATCTTTCCATGGCGTTAACGTTATATATTTACTTTGAACCCTTTCAGCTCCTCATCCAAATCTAGTCCCAGCAATGTTGGAAAGATTGTGGGGTATTCGATCGGCGGCATTGCAACATTTCTTACATTAGTTTGTGCCTGCTTGTCAATCAGCAAGAAGAAAAGCAGGGTACAATCATACCCAAGGAATCTGGATACCCACCCAACAGGTACGTGTGTTCGTCATACCAATACCGTCATACCACCACAAATACCTTCGTACCACTACCAATACCTTTATACCACCACAAATACCTTCATACTACTACTAATACCGCCATACACCACCAGTACCTTCATACCACCACCAATACCTTAATACCACCACCAATACCTTCATACCACCACCAATACCTTCATACCACCACCAATACCGTCATACCACCACAAATACATACCTTCATACTACTACCAATGCCTTTATACCACCACAAGTACCTTCATACCAATACCAATACCGTCATACCACCACCACTACCTTCCTACCACTACCAATAGCTTCATATCACTACCAATACCGTCATACCACTACCAATTCCTTCATACCACCACAAATACCTTCATACCACTCTTACTCAGAAGTTGTTTGATCAAGGTTACAACATTCACGGCCTGAGTAAAGCTTTCATACGTTACGGTGGACATATGGAGGACATTTCGAAACTTGATGCATCTGTGACAAAGATGATGTCCAGTGGGCCAGGATATAATCACCTTTTCGCACATGCGCACTGGATTGTCTGGCCCAGACTTGGTTTGTTTACAATTAACATCGTACAGATGTAGTACTGCTGTAACAAATATATGCTCATGATGTAGTCACAGCTGTACAATCATCTCTGCTTTTAGCAAAGATTTCTTATGAATGAGGAAAGACTTTTGTCACTTCTATCTACACTTGCCGTCTTGCCGTAGTTCTGCTAAAGGTATATTTATAAGAATTCCAAGAACAGTCAGAAATCATCACATTTAGTTTCCAGGGCCTCCTTGCACAAAGCACTAAGGTGATCGTAAGTCACTAAGGTAGCCTTAGTGCAATGTTAAAGAATGGGTGTTAAGGTTAACCTTAGTAACGGTTGCTTCGTGAAAGGTACCTCTGGCCCACAGTAACTCCGAGTTACGGGTGTGACCCAGTTGTTTCACAAGCAAATATCCAGTTCACGTTATTGTCAGAAAAAAATCATCACGGCCCCTGTATGAAGTTATGGAGTAACGTCCTCTGTGGCAGAGGCAGTTGCGTGGAACCTGCTGCAATCCGAAACCTGTCACATTCCACCTACAAAGCAATTGTTAAATGTATTCCATTCATCATCATTATCATCATCATCATCATCATCATCATCATCATCATCATCTTAACTATAGTCATGGCCAATATTCTGAATTACGAGGGTATTTCGCTTGCCCTGTTCAGGATGTCAAATTGGTGTATTTCGCCCGTTCTCGAGGCACTCTTCAAGTCAACCACATTGATCAGTACGTGCAGTATACCTCGTGTTCTGCACAAGGTGAGGTTCCCTCCGGCCGTTAGTCACTACACAGGTTTTATCAAGCTTTGTTTGCTCAAGTACAAATATTCGACGCTTTTTTACTTGATGAAAGACATACAAATCCGAGAACATTAGATTCTGTTCAATTTTAAGGAAAGATGTACTGTAAATGTTAAACTGCCAAGACATATCGGTCCCGACACATTGGTGGTTCATCCTTGCTCTGTTTGTCCTGAAGCTCTGATTAAACGGATAGATCGAACAAAAAGCCAGCCTCAAACCCCAGGGTAATAAATCCCTTCAATCTGAGTTCTCTTTCCGATAGCAACTTGTATGACAAGGTACAACGGTAACTGTACATTTTATTTCAAATTTTATTCCGTATTTTAGGCCGGATGGCCCATAGTACTATTTTGTTGCAAGGTATACAATCGTTGTCACATGACCAAAATTACATTAAGAAGATCTTAAGCTAAATATTTTTAGCAGATATATAGATGTTAATATACGTAATATATTTACATCATGTGTGTTTAATATTTGTTGCAAAGTTAATGTAATTTTACAATATTTTTTGATGGACAAGAAGTATTCATTACGGAGTAGAGAATATCTATTACAGATAAAGAAAACATGGTATTCATTTTCTACAACATTCATATCACAGTGCAAACAAATAGATTCTATATTAGAATTATCATTGACTTTCTTTTTACGTTGTTGATTTACCCTGAAATCATGAAGAGATATACGAAATTTACACATCGATCTAACTAAGTTTCTATTTTCAAGTTTATGGATATATGTTTCGCATTGGAATAAGTTCTTTATACTAGAATAGTGTGACAAATATGATGATGATTCAATACTTTGCTGCCAGGATTGAATGTACATATCAACGGTAACTGTGTAAACAGCAGACAACATTCTTCAATAAAAGTTATATTTTATCAATAAAATCATGCATAATGACTAACGTCCGAAGCTACAAGGTCAAATACGAAACCACATGTCAACCTTTAGCCCTGACACGCAACTTCCTTAAGTGGCATTTAGAAGCTGGTATGATGAAGAGGTATGATGATGTACTGACAACTACACAGCGCTCAGCTACGTCCTCAACTTTCAGTTTCAGGTATCACCTCCTCTAACCAATATCCAGGGACTACCGGCCCAGCATCAACCTCACCATCAGCTGCAAGGACACCGGCACAGTCAGCACTGCCAGGCATGATCCATGTCTAGATTAGACAAGATAAATGACCATCCGCTCTTCTTCTTCAGAGATGTGGAATGACTTGGTCAGCGAATCAACAGCGATCATGTTGTTTTGTCAGTACTACCGATAGGCCAGAATATGCCTAGTACAGTTTTCACGAACATTTGGTGTCGTCACGGATTTTCAGTGATCCATTTATAATTTTCATCGCCTTTTCCCGTTTTATGCTCGATAGAATCTGTTTCGTCAGATAACCGAAACTGGTGAATGTCTGTTTTTGACTATTAATATTCAGAATACATTTGAAATAAAATGTGTGTATTTTCTCGTTTCGAGGTGTGCTGTCTTTTGATCAGTATTTATTTGTGTGACAAACATATTTGTCATAATCGGTCTTCAGAAATGGTAGCTCTAAGTGAGAACGATTTGACAAACAACTTGAAGCCATAACGTCATTAGAGACCAGGAAGCGGTTGTTTGAGTATTTCCAATAGGGCCATAGTCAATCACATTGTCAGGTTCCTCTGGTAGCAGCGACGATAAACATCACAGGCTCGTGTAGCACGTGATGCATTTAGTTCAGGGGCTGCGTGCTCCGTTGTGGAATGTTCGATATAATTCAGTCTGGACCAGACAATCCTGTGACCAACATTATGAACATCGATCTGAGCAATTGGGATACGATGACATGTGTCCACCAAATCAGCGAGCCTGACCAACCGATCCTGTTAGTCGCCTCTTACGACAGGCATGGGTTACTGAAGACCAAATCCATCCCGGACCTTCATGGGTTTTGTCCTGTGCATCTAGCTCTTCCGATATCACGCCAATAGAGGATAACTGGTGTACGACAGAGGAGAAGCGTCATGCAGTACAAAGTGCCACAGCGTGTCTTAGAGGAGCGTGTATTATTGGCGAAGTGGGACCGCTAATCCAATGCTATCATCGAACTTGTGTCAAGAGTTGCGTCAGGAGGTCACACAGAAAAATTGATTCCATTACCGAGGTGCTATGGAAGCGTTCAAATAAATTGTTATCAGACCTACCTCAGTGAGTGAAAAGTTGTGCACGGCTTAACCATCCTAAACGATGGATGTTATGGTAGAATATGGTCACCCTTTTCGCGTACAGTTGGTGCTGTCATCACTGATCATTACCCAGCCACTGATATAATTGTAACTGCTATTTTTCCTTTTACGTCAGACATGAATCTGTTTCGTCAGATAACCGAGACTGGTGAATCTCTGTTTTGACTATTAATATTCAGAATAAATTTGAAATAAAATGAGTGACTGTATTTTCTCGTTTCGAGGTGTGCTGTCTTTTGATCAGTATTTATTTGTGTGACAAATATATTTGTCATAACCGGTCTTCAGAAATGGTAGCTCTAAGTGAGAACGATTTGACAAACAACTTGAAGCCATAACGTCATTAGAGACCAGGAAGCGGTTGTTTGAGTATTTCCAATAGGGCCATAGTCAATCACATTGTCAGGTTCCTCTAGTAGCAGCGACGATCAATATCACAGGCTCGTGTAGCACGTGCTGCATTTAGTTCACGGGCTGCGTGCTCCGTTGTGGAATGTTCGATATAATTCAGTCTGGACCAGACAATCCTGTGACCAACATTATGAACATCGATCTGAGCAATTGGGATACGATGACATGTGTCAACCAAATCAGCGAGCCTGACCAACCGATCCTGTTAGTCGCCTCTTACGACAAGCATGGGTTACTGAAGACCAAATCCATCCCGGACCTTCATGGGTTTTTCCTGTGCATCTAGCTCTTCCGATATCACGCCAATAGAGGATAACTGGTGTACGACAGAGGAGAAGCGTCATGCAGTACAAAGTGCCACAGCGTGTCTTAGAGGAGCGTGTATTATTGGCGAAGTGGGACCGCTAATCCAATGCTATCATCAGGGAACTTGTGTCAAGAGTTGCGTCAGGAGGTCACACAGAAAAAATTGATTCCATTACCGAGGTGCTATGGAAGCGTTCAAATAAATTGTTATCAGACCTACCTCAGTGAGTGAAAAGTTGTGCACGGCTTAACCATCCTAAACGATGGATGTTATGGTAGAATATGGTCACCCTTTTCGCGTACAGTTGGTGCTGTCATCACTGATCATTACCCAGCCACTGATATAATTGTAACTGCTATTTTCCTTTTACGTCAGACATGAATCTGTTTCGGCAGATAACCGAGACTGGTTACTCTCAGGCGTTTTATATTCCGAATAAATTTCAAATGAAATGAGTGACTGTATTTGCTCGTTTTCCTTTCATATGAAATATAATTTGAGGTATATATTCTTTTGATCAGTGGTGTATATGTGTGACATAAAGATCGGCCTTGTGACCATAATCACTCTCTCAAAATGGTATCTCGTTGTGCTAACGATGTGACAAACAAGTGAAGTCACATCAAACAATGTGACGTCATGACGTCATGAAACTACGTGTTGTATATGCATTTGTAATACAGCGACTGGTTTAAGTGATTCTTGGAATCTGTGGCGGGTAGTGATTTAATAGTCAAATGCCTTTCTGCATCGTTGTACGTTTAGTTTACAATTACGTGCAGTGTACTTTTCCAATGTTAATATGCGGTGGTGTTTGCCTTTCAAGATGAGCGTTATATGTCTCGAACCGCTGTCATGTCTTCGTCTTACCTCCTTCATACAGAATGCCTCCGTAGTGTATAAACATTGTTATCAATAACTTAGACACACAATCGAATTGTTGATAACCTATCTGTAACACATGTGTGCGAAGTGATAGGTCATATCCAAAACAGCTCAATGTACACAAATCTATCTACTTCCTGGTAGTTTCAGCGACACTGCATACGAGGAATGTGTTTTAAGAAATAACACCGACAGGCATGTGCGTTAAATATACAGCTCGACAGGAGATTGAATAGCTGCACGATGGAAGGAAAGTTCACCTTACTGGGTCTGATACTTCTTTTGATGAAAGGTGAGCATCCACAATTATACATTTGAGTAATCTTGAAATAAGTAAAAATAATTTAACTGCAAATATTTAAATATGTCGTAATGCCTTTAACTGCTATGCACATTTGTATCTGGGACGGTTGTCACCATATTTCATGTTACCAGTATGCCAGTTATCACCTTATCTTCGGTAATATACAACATGCAACAAATTCTAAACTAGACAAGGTTAATACACGCCATGATGTCTTGGAATCCGCTCTTTAATCACCGAAGTTCCCGGATCTTTCCCGATTTGAAAAGATATATGATGTGCAGTGTTTCGGAAATCAAGATACAATACACTCACATATGCATTATCCTTCTCTGTTGTATATAGTCAGGCAGCATTGGAAATAGTAATAACGTCATCTAGCAGCAGCTTTGGTCAAGACGCCAAGATGGCTGGATATTCAGGTTGAAGATGTGATCTTGACACATACGCTGGTCTTGGTGTAATATAATGAGAGAGAAAGGCATGTGCTTGCCCATTTATGAAGACTAAATTAACTGACGGACAAAAGAAACTTTACCACTTTAAAACTGAAGCCGCAAAAATATAAAAACACAAGTTCAAACTAAATCAAAACAAAACGTACCGCCCAAACACAACGATGTTCTCCGTGGAACGTGAAACACATCACTGGCATCATCAATGATACGGACGGCACATGAGACACTCATACTGATAAAAACATCACCACTGATTACAGTCAGACAAGGCTGACATGAGACAGACCAACAGCAGGCAGACCCAGGAAAACTACGCCGATTAAAGTAATTTCGGACATTGACGTCATCATCGATGAATGCGACCTTACAGAGAGATGGGTCCGAGCTGCAAGTTGTTGGCAGCGACGTGATTGGCAGAGGGTAGCCTCCCTGATGAAAGTCGGTTCTGCCTGTTCCGAGCTGATTGAAGATAGCCAGTTTACCATCGAAGGGAAGTACGAAAGGCAGCATGTTGCGTTGAGGATGTCGTGCCAAATGGAGGAGACGGTGTAACATGTACAGTTGCCACGTGGTGTCCTTCATCAATACGACAGACCCACATACAACCCGAATTGTAGAGAACGTCCTTGCTGCCAGCAACATTATGTTGCCATGGCCCTGACATGTCCCCATGGCCACGACATGGATGGTCGAGTTGGACACCGATTTCATCCTCCAGGAACCGACAAGAACTGCTAAAAACCATCCAAGAAGAATGGCACAAGTGACGTCATCAGCCTTTTTAGCAGGACTGGCAAAACTATTGTCAACGCGTCGACTGGGGAACCAGCTCAGAATTATACGTACAATACGTTGACGAAGACGGAGGAATAGGTTGAGTTCAAACCTCTCTAGTTGACTATACAGTAATGATAAACAAGTATACATGAATGAGGTGAACGGAGTTCCAGCTCAACCCTAGGGCGTTTCCTACGAGCAGCATTATCCTGTTCGCGGTTGTCCCTACACAGACAGTCGGAATTCCGAACTGCTTGCCAATATAGATGTGAGCATATATAATGTTTTTGACGACAATGGAGAGGCGAACACTCAACAATGGACAGACAGAGAGACAATAGCACTTCCTTGAACCAGTTGATGTGATGGCAGACACGGCCAAGGGGGATGACCAATTAAGGCCATAAATGTCATGTACATTAATTAATGAAAGTGACAGAGTAGTACAGGGTGGCTGACAAGACAATGTTCACTGCAGTAGTGATAAGGATCTCAAGAAGGCAGATTAGCGTCATATACATAATTATAATTAAGTCCCACATGGATTGGCTACATAGTTTTGGTGAGGTTCTTGAGAGGCATTTAGAAGTTGGTGTTCAAGTAGAACGCAAATATTATGGATGACAACTTCTTCTTTATTCCTTTTACCCTACGCACTCCATTGACTGGTCATGGTAGGGTATATTGATTCTGATAGGAGAAGGTTCAGGTTTAGGAGGGCATTCATCTTGTTGCTGCTGGAGAGTTGAGGCTATAGTTCTTTCTACCAGATGTTTGGGGTAGCCGCTGAGGTTGACAAATGTTGCTCTGAGGTGGTCTATTTCAGCTGGGAGATGGGCAGGGTCACAGATGGCTTTGGCTCGTCTAGTCAAGGTTGCTACTATGGCTCGTTTGATCTGAGGATGATGGTTGGAGAGGTAGTGGATGTATTGATCTGTATGGGTGGGTTTCCGGTAGACTGTAGGGGTGATCTTGTTGAGAGTTCTTTAGGGACACATCAAGGAAGGGTAGTTTCAACATACCCTACCATGGCCAGATTAGTCACCACATCGGCCGTCTCATAAAGAAAACCACAGCATCGACGTGACATTCCACTCTGATAAGACCCTGAAAACCATTCTGAAAGCCAATGGACGTGTTTCCTCTACTAAAAAACCCCAAATAGACCCAGGGGATGCATATTCAAACTACACTGTGATTGTGTCTCCACATACATAGGTGAAACATCCCGCCCATTTGACATACGACTGAAGGAGCACAAAACATCTGTACAACACTGCTTACATTTGACATTGATACATTCCTGACAACTGATTCTTGTTAAAACGAATTGTTATGATCTCCTACTGTAACTCAACAGAAACAATGTAATACAATTACAACACCGTTTAACAATAAGTGCATTGCCATATAACCGCACTTCTGGGATGTAACCTAACGACCATTTACTGGAGACAAATTCCTTCCTTATGAAGGAAACAAACTCCACATGATTGGTCCTTGGAACCTGGGTTCTCTTTCTACCTCACGATATGAATGAAATATTGTCGGACTCTTTTTCTAACAGTAAAGTCATGTGAGCATCATGCACATGCAATGTTCACATTTTGAAATGCACGATTCGTATAAAGCTTTCGGTCAGCTGCGTTGTTATTGGGACCATGTTGCGTTTTGGCGAATGTTTTCTGCTGGGTTCAAACCTGTACCAGCATTTATTGTTTATACCATTACTTTAAAAGCTAACTAGATAACTTACTTTTGCCCGGTAGTTTATAACAGCACTTCTTCAGCTTGGAACCCAGGGCATACCTCTTGCATCCCTACCTCTTGCTTCCAGGATGCGATGGAATTCAGCTTTGTAAACAGTACAGCCTCACCGACAGTAGTTCCTACACCACCTACTTCTGCACCAACTACTGCTGCGACTCAGTCTATAGCAGGGACTGCTGCCACGAAAAACCAGTTGGTTCATGGAACTCAGTTAGAACTTGGAGCATGTCGAAACCTTTGACAAGGCACAGGAGGTAAGTCTCACATATGATGCTGTTTGTTGACGACTAGTACCACCAGTCAGCCGCCAGGCCATGGAGTGATCTGTCCTCTTTGAATGGACTTCCAACAACGTGTTGAACCGTGCATTGATAAACGAGGGGATCGAACTTGACATTTGTCCAGCGTTTACTGACGTTTCACAGACATTATATAATGATGTAGGACGCATGTTTTGAAAGATATTTTGGACCATCACGTGTTTACCACTATTTCCTTCGAACATGCAATGTCAGGGGCGTAGCTACCATAACAAAAAAAACAAAAAAAGCCCGGGCTTACACATGATTGTTGCTAAATAGGCTGTGCAAGCCCTCAACACTATCTATACTAAGCATCATTAGTGAAGGGTCGCTTATATTATTTAATCTGACCAATCACAATTGATAGAACACCAAACAAGGTTTGTCATGGATCAAAGTTTAATTATTAAACGTAACAGCTAATGTCACAACAACGTCGCACGGCCGATAATTCTCTATGTAACGCTAGACGGAGGTCAGCAAGAGTCATGTTAGAATAGGGTGGTTTCTGTAAACTCTGCGGCCTAACTCATCCCAAGCATGCTCAAGTGGGTTAAGATCCGGGCTGCAAGCTGGCCATTCCATTCTCATGATACCCTGCTGCTGTTGGAAGTCATTCACAATTCGTCCACTGTGTGGTCATCTTGAAACTGGGGAGACTCACGAAATGCAGGAAGTTGGCGCATAAATGGTACCACAGATGGAACAATAATCTCGTCTCTGTATCGTTGAGCTGTGAGATTTCCTTCGACAACATAAAGAGGAGTCCTCCCAGTAGCCGTTATCCCACCCCATACCATCACTGAACCGCCACCAAATCGGTCATGTGTTGCTACAGTTGCATCAGCAAAACGACATCGATAAACCCGTCTACGACCATCATTAAATGACAGGCTAAGCCTACTCTCATCGGAAAAAAGGACAAATGACAACTGGCGTTGATTCCAACGAATATGAGCACGACAGAACGTCATCCGTGACGATGACGAGGGGTCATTCCAGTTCTGACTGCTGGTTGCCGAGCTCTAAGACCCACAGAGCGTAAACGACGGCGTATGGTGGATACACTAATCCCGGTGTTGTTGGCGTTAAAGTGTTCAGGTTGAAGATCTGTTGCAGTCATGGATCGATTATGGAGATCGACGTTTCTGAGGTGCCTGTCTTGACGTTGCGTGGTGACACGAGGTAGACCTGGCCTTGAAGCATATGCCACAGTTCCTTTCGCCTGGAATCGTTGCCACAGTCTACCAATGACACTCAACTTGTCGTTGACGTTGTCCTGTATGAAGCATTCCTACTGCTTGGCCTCGTTCTTCAACACTCAGAAAACGCCTCATTTTGAAAGCACGCTGTGAGGAAAGATACAGGATCTCAAGTGCAAAGACCGATGTCACTTGAAAACCTCCATTACACATTTTCCACGTGCATTGGCACATCACTGGATGTGTTCGCGTGAGCTGTTTTGAGCAATGTAAACAACACACCAAATTTCAGGAAAATTCATCTTCATTCAAACTTCCTTTTTTGGGATTATGATCTAACCAACCGTGGAGACACAAGAGCATGCGACAAAGTGAGGTCTAGTGCAATGTTAATTAATGGCTAGGAGAGCATGCGACAAAGTGAGGTCTAGTGCAATGTTAATCAATGGCTAGGAGAGCATGCGACAAAGTAAGGTCTAGTGCAATGTTAATCAAAGGCTAGGAGAGCATGCGACAAAGTAAGGTCTAGAGCAATGTTAATCAATGGCTAGGAGAGCATGCGACAAAGTAAGGTCTAGTGCAATGTTAATCAATGGCTAGGAGAGCATGCGACAAAGTAAGGTCTAGTGCAATGTTAATTAATGGCTAGGAGACTACAAAGCCATTATCAACATTGATGAAAACTGCTGTAAATTAAATCATCAAATTATATAGGTGACCCTTCACTAATGACGTTTAGCATAACTATGAAGCTTTGTAACCTATCGGGCTTAGACGAAAAAAATGGCTTGCTTCGCGCCTGAATGTTTTGTTTTTTCACTTGTTTCTCGGAGCATCAGTTTAGTTTCTTTTACACATCAGACTATTTTATTCCCTTGTAGATCCTCGTCAAGCATCAACATCGGGATTATCATGAAGTATGTGGGGATTGCATTTTCCTGTCTGATTCTATTTTGTTACTTACTCATTGCATGCAAACGGCAGTGCGTAAACAACACAGTCAGGGGGGTGTCATCCCCTGGGAATCAGGCTACAGTCTCACCAGGTATGTACATTCCAGCCATTCCATATAAAGATTTGTAGAGGATTATCACTTCAATATCTTACTCTGCATATATGCAGTTAGACTAACAACTAGTCTCTGAAATGAACATATTTTACAGAAAAAAAGCTCATAGTAAAAAGAATAAACTATAATGAAAAGGAGCCCTGAGACTTTCTCCATTTTCAGAAGCTGTGGCAATCTAGACTTGCCACATTTTCTAGACTCTAGCGTGGGCTTTCTTGGATATATTTGTCTCAGCGCGACATTCAAAGGCACTCACGCCAGCCAATTACTAAATCACGTGAATGGCATTCACTGAATGACTATTCATAGAACTTGGTTTTCCTTAATGACATTCACGTTGGTATATTTATTTGCAATGTTGTAATTCCACTCGAAGCTTTGGTGACAATGAAGAAACAATTGAAGAAGGAATTAGAGGCGGTAGGCTAATCCAGCGGTCATCAACAAGGTGATTTCGTTGGACATACTAGATATTATGGGAATATTAGTCTATCAACAGCATGGGCATCGATATCTACACAACTAAGATACGATGACATGTATTATCCATGTCAGTGAGCATGGCCGCCCAATCCCGTTAGTCGCATCTTACAAGCATTGGTTGCTGAAGACCAATTCTAACTCGGATCTTCAAACATTACGCGGTTCATCTTTTCAGAAAATATATACAAAGTTAAAAACAATCGTTTCCGAACAGCAGCACATTCTAATGAAGATGTATGGCAGTCACTGTAATCACAGAATACAGAATGTCCATATATAAACGACTCTTGTTGCTTTCACGAGACAAATCCCGAGGATGAAAAGACAAATCTACTCCTCCACGCCTTCAATATTGGCCCGTACATGGCAGGAATGCCTCATCTGCAGCTTCCCCTTTTTTGTTTCAGAGCCAAAGACGAGCGAGGAAGAATCAAACCAGACAACAGCCACAGCAGGGCCTACGTGGCAGGGAGAAAGGTGGAAGTATTAAACCTGCTCCTACAATTTAAAACTTTGCTACAGCCGAACACCGTTGTGTCGAACTGTGTTCGTTTGTTGTTTAATGCGGCACGCAGCAATATTCTGGTTATATGGCGGCGGTCTGAAAATAATCAAGTCTGGATCAGACAATCCAGTGATCAGTTTGTTTCTTTATTTCAGTTGATATTTAGGCCAACGGCCTATTACAACATAGATTACATAGACAATATGATAGCATTTCACATGCGTAAAATATGCATATTCATATGTGGGGTAATATATTGATACAATAATCCACGTGTGTGGTAATAATATAGAAGTTCTATAATTCATGGCATGATGTTAAATGCATTGAAACATTTTTAATAGTGCTTTCATTTTTGTTTGACATTAGGTAAACAAACTGATGTATAGAAATTGTTGTGACATTGATATATTGTTTTCTAATGTTTGAAAATGATCTACAACCCAAAAGAAAGTGGTATTCATCCTCTATATTTCCCGATTTCCATAATTTACACAGTCTTTGCTCTCAACACCGTTCATCCTACCAGTTTCTATTTCAATTGCACACAACGACAGTTTGACAAAACCTATTTATTTGTAATGAGTTTATATACTCTTCAGTTTCAAATCTATACTTAAACAATTTGTAGTTTTGTAGTTAGTTATGGATTGAATTAAACCAATCTGATATGAATAGATCTCTCATTCTTTGTTTAAATTCTTGGAGAAATAAGTTTATATTTTGTACCCCTTGATTTGCCCATACATACATTAATACATTAGAGCATAAAATGTTTCTTACTTTGGTAACCCAGCTTATGGCCACATTCACCAATTTGTTTCTAATTTGGTGTCTTAACTGCTAATAGTAAATGATCTCTTAGGAGCTACTTATTGGATCCTAACTGGTTCGTCGTATTACGAGAGCGGAAGGTCGCGGGCTCGATCCCCGACCGCGTCGTACTAAAAGACGTTAAAATATGGTACTTGTTGGTCCCTGTCTGGCGCTCGGCATTGTTTGGTAAAACAAGGACTGGTCGGTTCGGAGTCAGTGTAATGTGACTGAGTGGGGTATTCATGTTTAATTGCGGCATGGTATCTCAGTGAGTTGCACTATAAAACGTGTCGCTCATAGGACGATGTACATGCTTGTGTATGTGTGGCTGCTTGGCCTAGCCCAGACTTAAAGAACGAATAAACTTTTGTTTTTTGTACTCTTTTAACCATAACATATGGAAGGGGTGTGATTAGTCGTAAGCGGAACACCAAATTCGTTCTTAAAGGTCACATAAACCCTAGGGGGTAAAAATACTTAAATCACTAACTCGCATCGTTATAAATGAAACCCCGTCATTAAAACTACTCATTTCGACCTTTAATTGACTTAAATCGACCTTTTTGACAACAGTGCACAATTCTCACCCGCGAACGAAATTTCAACCAATCAGAGCGGCGCGCCTCTGTGACGTCATATGAGGAATAGCTTGGAGGGCCTGTGCAGAATTCATCTACATTTTAGGGGTTAAATTATCTTGTTTACAGGCTTGTATAAACCTGAAATCGTGACAATTGTTGTGGAAAATGAAAGCTATATGTTCTCACAATCTACTGTCATTTAATTTTGTCTCCTGCTTTGCCTAGTTTCCGAGTTACAACTTGTTTTCATAGACGATTCTGTCAAAATCGATTGGTGTCCTTAGGCCCTATTTGTATAATGACTGATCTAAATTGATCCCATTTCTGTGTTTTTTTACCTCGATATTTAATCATGTCATGTAAAAAATCTGTTTGTATTCTCAAAACAGTGTCGGCCCATTCCATGCAATAAGCACATTTTCACATGCAATACAGCAATTAATACTACACATGTTATTTGTCATCATTCACTTGATGGTCAGTTAATGAATTTATAACAGGTATAATTAGTGGTAACACACTTAAATTACCCGACAAAGGTTCCCATTTGGCATTTCTTGTGTCTGGAGTAAATATTCAACATTATAAACATCGATCAAAGGATTAACCGATAACACGCTGATTGATTAATTACTTTTATCTTACACAGCGGAATTGTCAAAAGGTAGTGTTTATGTATGTAGATTTACTAATCTATACTGAATACACTGTCGTGTAAACAACGTCCTTCTTTCAAAGGATTAACCGGCAATGCATTGATTGATTGCCCATTATTGGCTAACTAAATTACTGTTTTTAAAGAAAGGCGGACATTATGCAATTAGTTGCCAGGTGTGCTATCTTGGGTGACCAATGAGACTATACACCAATACCTGAAAAGATTTATCACTTTTTCGTATATTAAACTGTTAAAAGACACATCATTTGGAACAGTTTTGTGGATATTGATGGATACATTCCTCGAACAAGGTAATGGCCTGATATTGTTCCTATAACTTTAATCTGTTTTAATTTTAATATTTGCATTTTGTTTTTATTCATTTGTCGTAGCATTCAACAGAATCATTGTTTTCGCCGTGAAGTGTAATGAGACAGACAACATGCACTAGGGTGTGTGTGCGAATTATGATTCACATTGGCAAACTATAAAATGTCTAGATATTACAGTTCTGTTATAAATTCACTATAAGTATCAGCAGATCGTCTGCTTTTTATTTAGTTTCAAAATGCATACAAGTATGATAATAAACTAATTAGGATTATAAGACCAAATTTAAAGACGCACATTGACTAGTATCTACATACTGGTGAGTGGACATTAACCATGGGAATGTAACAAGAAATTTATCGCGCAGTATTGTGACTTCGACCCCCACCTCGCTTCCGTGGAAGAAATCGTTATGTTATAAGTTGTGTCATGCAAAATCCGTTTGGTTATGATTCCAATACATATTTAACAACGAGTAGAAAGTAGTCTTGATTTTCTAACTTGATGAAAACAAACTATAATCTCATTAATTCTAACAGATTTTTTTAGTTTTAAAATGGCGGCGCCCTGTCGGGAACATCCGCCAGTCTGAGGATAAATGCTATTTAGGTTTGTTTTCACCGAGTTACAAAATCAAACTACTTTCTACTGGTAGTAAAATATGTATTTTATTGATGGCCAATAGGATTTTGCATGACATAGCGTATATCATAACAATTTCTCTCCTGGCAGCGAGGTGGGTGTCAATATAATACTACTTACAATATTATTGTTACTTCGACCACAACCTCACTTCGAGGAAGAAATCGTTATGTTACAAGTTGTGTCATAGAAAATCTTTATGGTCATCAATCATATGCATATTTTACTACAACTAGTAAGTAGTTTTGATTCTTTAACTTCCGTGAAGCGATCTGAACACAAGTAAGATATCGTTTAAGGCTTCCACAACGCTCGCTTCGCACTCACAAACATAACCCATTTAGCACGAACTGCGGGGTCCTGTGGAAATCTGTACATGGGGACACCATCGCCCGACCCCTAGGAGCAACTGACGACAAAGCAACGATTCGGCATGTCGTCGTTGATGTCGAGAAATCATCAAAATGATGAGCGTGCTACACATTTTCTATACAACTAACTGAAAATCGTTCCTCATATGACGTCACTGCAGTGCTCTGGCGACAGAGTTACGTAACCTGTCTGTGGTTTCGTTGGCGGGCGAGAGGAAGCAGGCGACTTTTTGGCCACTTTTAATCGCTTGGTATTAATTAACCACAAGTTTTTAAAGAATAAATTTGGTGTTTCGCATAAGACTAACCACAAATCTTTCATATGTAATGGTTAAAAGAGTAACAAAAAACAAAGTTTAGTGGTTCTTTAAAAAACTTGTCGTTAATTAATACCGAGCAATTAAAGTTGCTAAAAAGTCGCCTGCTTCACTCTCGCCCGCCAACGAAACCACAGGGAGGTTACGGAACTCTGTCGCCAGAGCACTGCAGCCTGGAACGATATCTTACTTGTGTTCAGATCGCTTCACGGAAGTTAAAGAATCAAAAATACTTACTAGTTGCAGTAAAATATGTATATTACTGATGACCAAAAAGATTTTCCATGACACAACTTGTAACATAACGATTTCTTCCTCGGAAGCGAGGTTGTGGTCGAAGTGACAATAATATTGTAAGTAGTATAATATTCACACCCACCTCGCTTCCACGAGGGAAATTGTTATAAGCTATGTCATGCAAAGTCCTATTGGCCATCAATCAAATACCTATTTTACTACCAGTAGACTGACTGACTGAGATTGGTTTTACGCCGCTTTTAGCAATATTCCAGCAACATCACGACGGGGGACACCAGAAATAGGCTTCACACAATGTACACATGTGGGGATTCGAACCCGGGTCTTCGGCGTGACGAGCCAACGCTTTAACCACTAGGCTACCCCACCGCCCCTACTACCAGTAGAAAGTAGTTTGATTTTGTAACTCGGTGAAAACAAACCTAAATAGCATTTATTCTCAGACTGGCGGAAGTTCGCGACAGGGCGCCGCCATTATAAAAAATCGTGAAGTCACGGGCTAAAGTCTGTTTGAATTAATGAGATTATGATTTGTTTTCATCAAGTTAGAAAATCAAAACTTCTTTCTATTCGTAGTTAAATATGTATTTGAATCATGACCAATTAATTCCAGCCACGTTGACAGCACCTGTGTAGGGCTAGATTCGATCGGCAGCGGCCTTCCAAGGGTCTAAAAACGTATTGCAACATCTACAAATCATTTCCTCGACAGTAAGCAGGCATTTTCTACAAAACCACTTGTCCGCCATAGATGGCCTTGACTTTCAAGTGATCTGAGCATATCCGCAGAAACTGATTTGGGCCATCCGATTGGTGGAAAATATAATATACTGTAAGATTTTGACTGTTTGCTAATGGGCGCGAAATATGAAATTTGCAACATTCCTTCTATTTTGGATGATGTACGGAACAGTATATTGTTAAGAAATGCATTCGATATTGATTCATTTTTAGCGGTATACAATCCGAGTACCTTTCATACTGATGCGTTGGATGTTACTATTATTGAACGCATAATTCTTGATGAAAAATGTTGATCCTTTAAGATTTTGTAGAAAGATAGTTTTGAGTGTGGATAATTCTGAAAAGGTGTTAGTTTCAATCCCTTCTATAGGGTTATCATTGAGTCCCAAAACGTTGATGTGTGGTAAACATCTGAACATGTGTGGCCTCATGTCCGTTAAAAGGTTGTGTTCTAGAGCAAGTCTCTTTAACATGGGATAAAAGCTTGAGTTGAAACCACAGAAGGATGGAACCTCTGTGATTCTGTTGCCAGGAAGCGATAGACTGCTCAGATGGGGAGAATGGCCCCACTTCAATGACCGTATGTTGTTACCCCCTAATTCTATAACACGTATATTCCTGAGTACTGAAAACGGTTCTTGGTTATATTCCTGTAGATGGTTTCTCTCTAGGACAAGATATTTGAGTGTGTTATTCCTCATCCCATGAAACATGTCCACTGGTATATGCTTCAACTTCATAGCACGTAATGTCAGACTTTGGAGAGGTGTATTATCGAGACCATGAAAAGCCGTCGCTAGATCTGTCGTGGTAAGAAGATCATTTCCGGTGAGGTCCAAGTGTTTAAGCTCAACCAGTACAGATAAAGCGTCATCAGAAATGTTCCTTATTTTGTTCCACGCAAGAGACAGGAAATCCAGTTTCAAATGTGTGATGTTGGCGAACGTAGCCCTCGATATCCGATGCAAGCTGTTGTCTGTGAAGTTCAGCTGAGTAATGTTGTCCCACAAGCTTGGAATAAAAGTCAGGTGACCAAACCCACAGTTAGCCAATGGCCCCGAACACTCACAGATGTGCCGGAAGCAGAATGAGCCATGTTTCCCGTTAGTCAATGCGTCTGACCTGCTACGCCAGACACTCATCCCGTCTGTGTTGGTCAATACACAGAAACATACCGTCACACAGAATGTCCACGACAACGTCGGTGTGGAGGAATACCCCATTCTGGAATCTGTGGATGACAATGAAGGCAGGGTTGTAACAGCTGATGTATATTATTACACGACGTGACACGTGGTATTACAAGTTCCAGGTTTTAATTAGCCAGATATACAAAACAAACGAATAGTAGGTTCTTTCTTTTAGAAATTGTTTCGGCGGGTCGGCGGCCAAACCATAGACGGCCTGGCGATGAGAAACACATACCTAATCACACCGGTATAATTTTCATCTCGGAAGAGCCAAGTGCCTAAACTAAGTATATTATAGATAGATAGATAGATATACTTTATTTCCTCCATAGCATATGAATATAAATATAACGTTCACAAGTACATTACAACAAGTAAATCAATATGGTATTACATGAATATACACATATGGTATTATGTGTATGGTATTTACACATGTCAGAAATTATACACATTCATAGAAATATCGTTACCACAACTTAATAGTTCTGCATATTCGGCTTATGCACATTGCCCATGTTTCATAGTCGAGGTCCTTCGTACACTGAGTAGGGCGACCACCAAGTAGAAAACAAAGTAATATATCTCCCGTAGCGGTAAGAGGAGGTGCTGAAAAGATGTCTCACACTAAAATAATTCAGTTTATTTCTTGATCAGCTCTTGTACGGAAGCGTAGTAGGGCCACGGTGAAATATTTTTTGGTCTTACTATCTCCTACGTAGTACTTAATATCTCCTACGTAGGACTTAGTATCGCCTACGTAGGACTTAATATCTCCTACGTAGGACTTAGTATCTCCTACGTAGGACATAGTATCTCCTACGTAGGAGTTAGTATCTCCTACGTAGGACTTAGTATCTCCTACGTAGGAGTTAGTATCACCTAAGTGGGTATCTCCTACGTAGGACTTAGTATCTCCTACGTAGGCCATAGTATCTCCTACGTAGGACTTAGTATCTCCTACGTAGGACATAGTATCTCCTACGTAGGACTTAGTATCTCCTACGTAGTACTTAAAATTTCCTGTAGGAGATGATCGATATACGTTTATATGGATTAATCTGAAACGGCCGACTTAAAGCCCCAGACACGCACACAATCTCCTGTTTCACTGTTTCAGTCACTGTAAGAGTCTACAGTCATTCGTTTCATTCACTATTAGAGTCTACAGTTATGTGTTTCATTTACTGTTAGAGTCTACTATCATGTGTTTCAATTTACTATTAGAGTCTACTGTTTCCTTCACTATTAGAGTCATGTGTTCAACTAATTGTTGCACATTAGTACGGTTTTGGACCGACTGTTATACTTTACTGCCTTGCGTTCAGTTTGCTCTACTATTACGCGTTGCAGTTAGTTTACTGTTATATGTTGCACTTTGTTACACTTTACTATTATGCATTGGATATTTCAGAGGTCGTTGCACATGAATCATAATTTGCGTGTACAGACGTGTCTTAGACTATAGGTGGCAATCTATGTGCACGCATCCCCTTATATTTATACAAATAACTATAATGACAATTCTTTGCCTTTTATAATTTCGTATTGTTTTACGCCGCACTCAACACTTGTCCACCCCAGTCAAGTCAACCTGTAAACAATTACGAATAAAACCGCAAACGAGCGTTGCATCCGATCCAACCTAGCCCTATAAAGACAAGCAACAACTTGCGGAGGTCGTGTTATAACCCACGTTTCATATCACAACCTCATCCCAACCATCCCACCCACCCCTGTGTGTGTGTGTGTGTGTGTGTGTGTCTGTTTGTGTGTGTGAATAGATGTATGTATGATAGATTAAACATAACCATACCCAAACCTCCATAACTGCAATTAGAACAGGGTCCACGTCACCCTAACGTAATACACACACAATAACACTGTACAGTAACACTGCGTCAGTGTCATGAATATTCACTGACTCACATTTCGACTATCTAACGTCCTGCATAGCCAAACATTTCTCAACTTAATAACCATCCTTAAAAAGGATATATTAAGTCCTACGTAGGAGATAGTAAGTCCTACGTAGGAGATACTAAAGTCCTACGTAGGAGATAGTAAGTCCTACGTAGGAGATACTAAAGTCCTACGTAGGAGATACTAAGTCCTACGTAGGAGATACTAAGTACTACGTAGGAGATAGTATGTCCTACGTAGGAGATACTAAGTCCTACGTAGGAGATAGTGACCCCCCAAAAAAATTCACGGTGGCCCTCCTACGCTTCCGTAGCTCTTGGGCTCTTTTCGCCTAAAAGTTCGTTTTTCACCGTGTTCCGCTTTGAGAATACCATAAGACGAAATGAATACCTTTATCACAACAGTTTGACGCAGCTTAGAGGGAAACTAATTGCTGTTAAAACAGTATATACATGTCTCAGTTTTTGCATCTATATTACACGTAATTTCGGTGCTCCGGGATGACAGAGTTAATTGTCTTACCCACCAACTACAGTCGAACACCGCTGTGTCGAAGTTGAAGGGACTTAGGCAGATGCTTCGAGTTTTCCGAGGTTCGACACAACCGTAACGTGATGGCTAAATAAGGAATACACAGGGACATAGCTTTTAGTTCGAGACAACCATACGCTCGACACAACCGTAACGGGATGCCTAAATAAGGAATATACAGGACATAGCTTTTAGTTCGAGACAACCATACGCTCGACACAACCGTAACGGGATGCCTAAATAAGGAATACACAGGGACCTAGCTTTTAGTCGGAGACAACTATACGTTCGACAAATCGGTGGTTGAGTGTAGCTGCAAATCTTCATAAGTTTATCATTGCTATGTATTTGCGACCAGTTGATGTCACATTATATGCAGTGCAGGAGATACATATGACTTCACAGCTTACAGCACCCATACCCACGAATAGATAGTCAGAAGATACCCTTGTTTCTCGGGGGGATACGTTTTGCAAATGTAACAGGGCGTAGAGTCATCCCACAGATGACATCCTTACATTGTCAGCTTGCTGACGGGGTTAACGTCTTTGGTCATGTGGACAAGGCGTCCGACTTCGGATAAGAAGGTTGGCACGGGACTCGGAAATGTGCTACACAAAGAGCACGTTCATATCAAATTTGAGCAAAATAAGTGTCAGTACCTAACTTCGGATGACGGGGAGTAAGCAGGGCGTGGAGTCATCCCACAGATGACATCCTTACATTGTCAGCTTGCTGACGGGGTTAACTTGGTTATGTGGACAAGGCGTCCGACTTCGGATCAGAAGGTCCGTGGTTCGAATCCCAGCACGGGACTCGGAAATTTTATGGCCGCTACACAAACATTACTGACCTTTGTTATGAAATATCCAGAAAACTTCGTCCTTTTCTCTCGTTATTTGGAACCCAGTGGCCAGTAGGCGGTGACTAGTGTGCGAATATATCTGACTAGTTCTATTTTAATCAGTATCAGTTTCCTGGTCATTCGAAACATGTGACTTTAACAGGAAACCTCCTAGGACATATAAGTGAGATACGCACCGCCCCTAGAGAAGTTTTGTCAGGCGACGAGTCCAATGTACGGCGTGGCCCGCTGTTCATAATTGTAATTCAAAGGTTATACTTGTGGCGAAAACCAGTGTTAATATGTGCCTCATATATGTTTGAGCAACAGAAACATAGTGCCAGGGCAAGTAGCTAGTCGGGATATGGCGGAAACAGTTTAAAATGCCATCAAAACCAGACACTTAACGAAGGTTGCTGTCAGCATTTTCTGAAAAACTCACAAAGGAAAGACACAAGTAACGCTGCATGCTGTGTTTTGCAAAACGTAAACAATATTTTTTACCCAATTTAAGAGCACGGTAAAATGGTGCAAAGGCCAGATCAAGGTCAAATTCTAAAATATCACAAAAGCAAAGTTGAAACTATGTGTCTGGTCTCATAACAAATAACACCCCCACCCCCCAACCCCCAACAAAATGTCATGATTACAGTAAAAACTTGAATAGCCAAATACAGGTCGCAACTGCCTTGTGCAAAATCGGGAACGAACTTCTGGAACACAATCAGGAACATTGTAAGGAACTAGCATGTGTAGTTTCAGCCTTGGTCAGGTGGTTCTGAGTAGCAGGTATGTACAGGCGCTCTCCTCGCCGGAAACGTGGGTCATAAACCCACTAGCCTTTCAGACAGGTGAGCTTAAATGTATATGTTCTCATCCTGTAAATCGTGTTTGAACCAGGCAAACCAGTGATTATAATTATGAGAAACGTCCATCCCGTAGGGTCCATCGACGTCAAGGAAACTGACCACCCGATCAGTTTTGTCGCTGTTTGCGACTGGCATAGGTTACTGTGATCAATCCTGACTCGCAGCTGGGAGACAACCAAGGGTTACTCGAGACATTTTCTGTGCCCGACCCCGTACGAGGAAGAAAGCAAGGGTTGCTGGGGACCTACTTCACGCAGGATCACAATCTATCGAGGAAAGGAGACATTTCCAGAGTTTCATGTTTTGTTCTCCCAACAATGACTGACTAATGGATATACGACACTGTGAGGAAAAGGGTATTGTGTATACAAGCTTAAATCAGTTCCTGCTAACACAACAACCGCCAATACGTGGCTGTACATGACTGGGTTATATTTATAAACACAAACTACAGCTCTAAATCATTTTCAAATTCTGTTTGAGAGCTCCCATTTGTGACAAATATCACATTTATACATGTTTTGTGAGAGAAAAATATTCATATACATGTGAGTAATGCTAGACTCATATGAAAGGAAATCTTGACATAAACCTGCATAGGTTGCTTGCTCTTACTGTAATGTCGAGACCATGCCCCAGACCCCACTCAATTAAAACAAGAATTGCAATCAAATCCGGTATCTGTCACAGAACTGCTAAAAGGGAAGAGATCCAATTGAGAAGGCCAAAATCTATTTCTGAAAGATGGTCTCTGGAACGTTGATAAATAGAACAGCCAAATATTGTTGCTGTTTTTCAATTTCTAAAAATCAAACATTAAATGATAACATTACTAACATAGAAGTCTTGTTTACTTTTAGTATTTAAATACTAAAACTCCCTATTGATATGTGTACCTACAACTTAGCACACCCGTGGTCACAGAAAGGAGGAGGTAAGCCGATATTTGCAATTGCAGAAGGCGACCTCTAAAACACTGCAAGCAACAACAACTAGCAAAGCTTTCAGTGTTTAATGAGTTAGGGCTACCCGAAATGTGGGCCTACCAGCTTCTGTTGTCTCTATTGTTTAGTCTGTTTGCTTATATTTAACACTGCACATCGCAATATTCCAGCTATATGACATGTAAATAATGGAGTCTGGACCAGACAATGCAGTGACTGACATTATAACATCGATCTAGGCAGTTGGGACAGAAACGAATGAATGGTAATTTATTCTTGAAAAATTAATTCTTAACCGTTGTACGTCCACGAGCATAAATTTAAACTTCATAGATTTTTATTTCATTCGGTGAACAACCAATCTTTGTTCCTAAACTTCATAAAGCAACGTTATTTATTACACAGGTTTGTTGGTCAACAAATATGTCCAATGTTTATTTGTTAAGAGGTGACCCACGTTTTCAATATGATGTTCCCGTGTGACAACTGGGATTAGCAACTGAAACAGACATAAAATATTCAGAAAACATACAGTTAAACATGAATAGTCTCAGTAAGTTCTCCCTCTCACCACTCCGTGCTGTCAGTCAGCTTGCTTGTCACTCTGCTTGTTCAGAGTATATGACCCAGTTGAGATATTCCCATAAACTTTTTTACTTACAGACGCAATAAGATGAAACCATTCATGTTGACATCATAACGAGAAGAGCCGGTGTGTTATTGTGAACGCAGTATAATGTCGGCCAATGTAGACGTCACAGAAGACATATTGGCAGAGAAATTTCCCGGAAATGTGGCATCGTTTACTCACCGGTGACGTACTGACAGCCTCCCCTATATACATAGCCTACTCCCACTTTGCCCACAGTCACGGCCGTTGCTTGATGTACTTTATCAGTTCTGGTGATTCTGCAGGAGTATCATAAACTACATATACCCTGATTACAACAGAAGGCTGTTTCCCCCAAAGGGGATCTATGAATAAATTTTCGTTTCCCTTCATTCATCTTGTTGTTACAACCTTCCCTGTCAACCTCTGATGACAGATCACGTGACCTGCCCCCGCATGGTCGGCCCTCAAAGTCGGTCCATTCAACCTCGTCGACTCTCACGTGATATACACTCGGAAAATGTCGGCCGAGCACTGTTGTAAAGTTCTGATAGCCATGGATGGCAGCGACCATTCCAACTACGCATTTGACTGTAAGTACCTGTAGGTTAGTTACCACTCTGGCCGTATATTGGAGTGCAGCGACACTGACATGATGCTAGCATCAACATGACAGGAGGGCGGCTTCTCGATAGCAGTCGCTTGTCTATCGTCTACGGTTGGATTAATACAGCTTGTTAACATTGTGCCTCTTAGTAAGTCTTATGTACATCGACATCTCACGATACTTGTGTACAGGGAACCTGACAGTCAGCAGTGTGATATCTTGTGTGGTTACCGTTTATATGTATGCAAATAGTGTATTGTATGTGTGTATGTGTGTATGTGTGTGTGTGTGTGTGTGTGTGTATGTATGTATGTATGTATGTGTATGTGTATGTATGTATGTATGTATGTATGTATGTATGTATGTATGTATGTATGTATGTATGTATGTATGTTTGTCTGTATGTATGTATGTATGTATGTATGTATGTATGTATGTATTTATGTATGTATGTATCTTTGTATGTTTGTATGTACGGAGAACATATTTAGATGTGTATGTGGGAGTATGTATGCGATAGTATGTCTTTTGCTTAGTGTATATTTTCTTGGTGGGTGGCGTGTAGCTTATGTGTGTGATGCATGTTGTGCGTGTGTATGTAAGGGGAGCTTACTCAGGGGTGATGGTTTGCAATTTTCATAAAATACTATATATAAACTTGCTACTATTAAGATACGGTTCAGTTTTGTACGTAATACATAACTTCACAGCTCACTGGAAATTCCGATATGTAATGAACTGGTGTGTAGAACTGCTGAACTGAGGTATTCATAGAACGCCCGTGCACAACATGATCGGCGAGTATGTAGAACTGCTGAACTGAGGTATTCATAGAACGCCCGTGCACAACATGATCGGCGAGTATGTAGAACTGCTGAACTGAGGTATTCATAGAACGCCCGTGCACAACATGATCGGCGAGTATGTAGAACTGCTGAACTGAGGTATTCATAGAACGCCCGTGCACAACATGATCGGCGAGTATGTAGAACTGCTGAACTGAGGTATTCATAGAACGCCCGTGCACAACATGATCGGCGAGTATGTAGAACTGCTGAACTGAGGTATTCATAGAACGCCCGTGCACAACATCATCGGCGAGACACAACGCCTGCAACACCACAGTTGTACAATGTTAACCAGAGTGTCAATTTTAATCATGTTGATATGTGTTCTAGTGAATGTGTGAAGCCGCTGAAGTGATTCAATAAGGCCCCAGGAAAAACGTGGGATAATATCTCAGCACAGTGCGATCGATCCTGCTAATCTGTTACCGCGATCGAATATATCAATGTGTAATTGATGGGTAATTCTTGTTGAAAGGCTCTCGTGCTAACGAGTCAATAACAGCTACAATGAAATGCGGAATATGTACAGGCTGCTGGTGATTTAGGGGCAGGTTGATTACAGAGACTGGCATTTTGGATAAATTGCTTTTGCAACAGAGCATGTGCAATATATATATTTGGAACATGCAGGTTTCTGTTAGTGTTGACAGTGGTATATTGTACTCTCACACGAGGAATTCCTCTTCGTCGATAGCACTTCTCTCACAATCAGAAGACTGGTAGACGTATGGATTCTGTCAGTTAACGTATCAACATATATGTCAGTTATATATTTCACTCTCTTTTAAATAGAGCGACAGGTTATCCCCGGTATAGCGTTCCCTCAATTCCAGACATGTTTTCATTCCAATGTTTGTTGTGGTATATCTGTACTGGGATACGATTCACAAAGTCATCCCAGCGACGTGGTCTCCGGAGCTCCCATCCTTAATAGACTCAGGCTGTGGTGACGCATAAATTGCTTCGTGGAACGTTAGTGCCTTGCCTAGCAGGTCACGTGTGTGGTGTGTGTGTTTACATGTCCTATGGTACTAGCGTACACCTATGGTATTCTGTGTATCTTGTCGAACTGGTATCGCCAGTAAAAGCTTGAGACCTTCACCACTGGTTTGATGTGGAGAAGCCCATTTACCTTTCGTGTGGTATTTATGAGAAATTGAGTACAGCGTTAAAGAATTTAGTTATATTTAATCTTAAGGATGAAAGATCATGAATAATATAACAGTTTTCACTTTTTCCTGCGTTTGTTTTGTCGATTCTACTTGTTCATTCTAAGCAATGCTTCGTCGTGCAATAGGATGAAACGTCACAGATTGATAACAATACGTTGCCAAAATTTTATGTCGACTTTACAGTTCATTTTTAAGTTCAGTTTATCTCTGAATGTCTTTCGCAATATAACGATTGGTATTAAATATTATTTTTACCGGAAACTCATGAAAGAACCTGATAAGTATGAGAACAATCATTCATCCGCTGTGGCTGATTGGTGGCTGCTTTGCACTTTACATTGTTCACAGTGGGGTCGAATCCTGGTATGCAGCTTGGTTTGATCCCCTTACGGGATAAACACCCACTGTTTTTCTTCCCACATTAATTAAGCTGATACGCCATGATATAAATGAAACAACCTCCACAACAGCTTTACCATCAACACAGAGGCATCCTCGATAATCTTCGGGGTATACCTGGTATACCCTGGATGCATCTACGGCTCGGCCCGATATTTTTTTATTACTCCCTTTGCTGGCTCCGCCTTCTCACAGTAGTCAATCAGATTAAGCCGTTACAATCGAGCTTGCCAGTGTCAACAAAGATTGCGGCCGCATCCGCGAAGGTTTGATCGCTGTGCGAATCAGATTTATTGGGAAAATCATACTGATAAATTGACATGTCAGAAACCTTCAAATATATAGGCAATAACTCCAACCTCTTAACAACTGTTTACCGAAGAAACGGAAGTGAGTTGTGATTGGTACGCTCAACTTTCCCACGAAGACACCTGATTAGATAAAAAGCAAGCAAAGGGAGGTAACTAAATTACCGTAGATGCATCTAGGGTACTAGTGATTTATCGGAACGAATGCCCGAGAGATTATCGAGGATGACACAGAGATTGTCAGGGGCGTAGCTACCATTATGAAAAACAGATCCGGGCTACACATGATTGTTGATGAAAAGGTTGGGCAAGCCCTCAAAATTATCTAAATATAAAGCTTTTCAACCTATGGGGCTTACACGAAAACATTGGCTTGCTACGCACCTGATTGCGTGACAGAGGACCACGTGTGCATCTGTATACTTTTTCTTGTACCACCTGGGGCGGCGGTGCAGCGTAGTGGTCAGAGTGTTCGTTCCCCACATGCGTACATTGTGTGAAGCCCACTGGTTGTGATGTAACTACAAGCAGCGTAAAACCATACTCACTCTCTCACTCTTGTACCACCATAACGTGTTTACCTTGAAGTATATTTGCAGGGTACATGGACAGGCTTCACCGGATGGGGAATGACGTAGTGGTGGCGCATTGTCCCGACTACAGCGCCATCTATCACACGCGTGAGTAACAAAGGTCCACAATCAATCCAACGAATTTTTATTACCCATAACTGAATAACAATTAGAGCCTTTATTGTGGATTAGGGTTTTCGTCAATTTTAGCAATATTTCAGCAGTACGCTTGGAAAGACCCTCAAGCTTAGGTTTATTAGAGTGCGCCCGGAATCCATTCCTAGAGATAATTTAGTGTTTATTTCTGAATAGTCAAATGACTACGTATGTAACCATAACATATTGCCCATCTTCATCTTCAGCCGGTATCAGTGGCGATCCGTCCCTGGTTGCCGAGCTCGTTCGAGAAGAGGCTGTCAAAATCGGCGTCATTGTCGACAAACTGCGGGAGAGGCTGACTAAAACCGGGGTAAGATAAGTCACGCGGCTACTATGTCACGAGCTTTGTTCGAATACTGTATTTCCAAAGTTCCAATCGTAATGCATATAAATGCTTTAGTTTATTTAATGCATTGTGTTAGTTATTAAATGTATAGATAAGTATGAGTACATCACAAGAGGTATGGAATATTGTTCAGTGTGGAGGTAAACCAGAAACCAAGTAATGTTGTATTTATTGCAATGCTTTTGGGGGCAGGCATGTATACTCAGCAGCAAAAAAACCCCAAACGCCAGTACGAATTCAAAATTAGATAGGCACTGTAATTAAATCATTACAGAAATTGACATAATAAGCGGATCAAAAATTGTTTTTGTGTGCAATATCTTGGCACATCAATGAATAACTCAGCACAATTTCAAGACATTACGTGTACGTTTGCAGTCCATTCAGACCCTTGAGTTCAGTATCTAGTGCGACCAATAACTGCAGCACAGCGTCTAAGCATGGAAGGCACCAATCGATCGATGAAGGCCATTGGCACATGGAACCACACGCGGACAAAAACCTGGCGAAATAAATCGGCTGTGATTGGCCTTGGTATGACATTATTCAGTCTCCTCTGTATTTCAACCCAAAGATGTTCAATTGGGTTTAAATCAGGACTTAGGCCTGGCCACTACATAATGTTGACACCGTTCTGCTGCAGGAAGTCCCGTGTATCTCTGGCAGTATGGTCCCGAGCGTTATCATGCTGGAAAATATTGTTCCGCTGACGTGCGAAATTTGGTATGACGTTGGGTGTGAGAGATGGGTCGACGTAGCGCACCGCTGTGATGCCGCCTCGTCTCCCTGGACCAAGGTTTTGGAACGCCACAGGACCCACTTTCTGGTTCAGGCCTATTCCATCGCTTACCATGATGCTTGCACTTCCCCATGAGTCTCTTTCCATACAACATTGGTCTGAGTTGTGCTGGCCACGTCGTCGCCATATTATTGTTCTGCCGTTGATACGCAGTACCGACTCTCATCTGTTAAAAGAACAGTTCTCCACTGCCTGAATCGCCAGTTTTTGGTGTTGTAGGGCAAACTGTAGACGTTTACTCCGAGGACGAGGGTGAGGATAGGTCCACGGTAAGGTCTACGGCAATGGCGGTTCCCGCTGTTAAGACGTCGGCGTACTGTATCAGTACTGATTGGTCTTCCGTGTGTTCCCCCTGTCTGTCGTGCTGTTTCGGATGCCTGCATAAAGGGATTCTGTACATGCTGTCGCACAACATGGCGGTCTTGTTTTGGTCTGCCAGTACGGGGCGATCATTGTGGTGTTGATGGCCCAGAAAGGTTGCTGCAGCCTGTAGAACGTTGTCCTGGAAGTGATTGGCAACAGCTTGTGCAGTGTGGCCAGCTTCAATTCTTCCTAACGCCCGGTTCCTCTGAGCTGTCGTGAGAAGGGGCATCCTGCTGACGTTGTAATGTGATTGTTTCAACCAGGTTTAGGGGGGCAATTTATAGGGCTGGACCTTGTGAACAGCACGTGCAGCATGAGTTGCATGAAAAACATGGAGAACACCGTACCATCTCCGAGGTCAGGTTGCGTTTTTGAGACCATTTCCTGGGTTCAATTCTGAGTTTGGGAAGGAATGTCTTTGCTCACGTAAAGTTGGAGATGGTGTCCAACATATACAATCAAAACATTAAATGTGTTTACAGTTATACGTTTCTGCGAAGGAAAATTTGCTGCTTAGTATATTTCGCTGACAAAATGATTTGTGCAGTTTGGTAAATTCCGCGATTCAGAATGACATCTAACTGACAGACATCTCCTATAGATAATGTTACGACATAGATCAGATGCTGTAAGGGGTCCATACATTATAAGTGACTTTAAGATATGGGCTTGCATTATAGCTTTGTAGCCCATAGTTTGAATGCAGAAAGAAGTCCAACTCCAGAATTACTGTGCAAGCCTATATTGCCTCAGATCTTAGAATTGTTTTGGACTTTTATGTAATATTTATGCATTTTTATAAACATATTTTAAAGAATATATTGACGTTATTTGTGGGACTAAGTCAGTCTATGCATGTAGGTACCGGGTCGTATTCTGCGCCTGAATGGTCATCCTGGTTCGTCTCTGGTGAAGGCAGCGGAGGAAGAAGAGGTTGATTACGTCGTCACGGGAACGCGCGGACGCGGCATGATGAGTAGGAAGATACTCGGCAGCGTTAGCGACTACATCGTACATCACTCACACGTGCCCGTCGTTGTTTGTCAGAGGCCCAAGGAACAGCAACAGCAAGTGTGATTGAAGAACAACAAAAGTGTCTTGGTGATGAGGATCGCCTTCGATGCCTTGTTGGGAGGACGTCATCAATCTTTTGGGAAGAAGAGTCCAGGGGACATCAGTAGTCCAGACACCGAGGACATCATGGACATCATGGACATTGGAGGCTGTGATGGCGTCACTGGTCTCTTCGGGGTGTCGACAATAGTAAACAAACAGTAAAACTAATATTCATTTGTGTTGCTTGCATGTTACAAAATCGTGTCGAGGTTTCTCGTGCTTAATGGATCATACTCCACATGATATGTAAAGACCAATGTCTTGTGTCCACCGCCATTTTGAATACTAGAATATTTCCAGAAGAGAAGCGACTCACTCCAGTACAATAGCAGAACCTCCCTTACTCGTATTAAAGAAATTCATGACCTTGCGGACACTAATCACGTATGATTAGTTTGACACTCTCCTATATTCACCTCTTCTTTAAGGGGTACGATGGCCCACTGGCCTGTTTATAAGAAACGTATTAAAAGAGAAAAGTCCAGTCGGAGTTTGAAGAGTTGCGTCCCTTGGGTAGCCAGAATTCTATGATTGTGTCTTTTAGCCTCAGGTTCGACCTCATTATTGCTTTCGGTTTACCAAACCGTTAGCGTCCTGCAACACTTCCATCTCACATAATGCGACATGCAGAAGTGTAAACATTGTCATGTTAGTTAAAAGATACTTCATACATGTGTTGTGCTGGTAAGAATACCCTCGTATTGTTTTACTGGTTCTATTGCTTGACTGGATGTCTTGTTCAACACCAAACTCACCAATTTTCAAGCTTTATGACGAATGTATTGAAATGGTTTCGTCTGAACTTGACAATCTAGTGACTGATATAATGAGCAGCATCCCATATCACCAGGATACGGTGACACGATACCAATCAAGTCAGTGAACCTCTTATGATTAGAATAGGTTTCATTTAGCCTCACATACTAACAATCAGTATTCATGTATTCTTAGAATTTCAAGTCCCATAAGACATGTATCTCATTTTTCAGTACGAAATACTCATTTCTTGTGTATGATAGTGAATACATATTCACGATTATTACTCGCTACAAATGTTCGTCTAGTGCGCCGTACTTCGCTGTACAGGGTTGTCTTTGACAGGCGTTACCAGAACCCTTTGATCCTGGACAACAAACAAACAAACAAAGCATTCAGCCTGATTATGATGCGTCACTGGTCAACACCATTTCCTCTTTAGACCAGCTTCACACCATTTCCTCGTTAGACCAGCTTCACACCATTTCCTCTTTAGACCAGCTTCACACCATTTCCTCGTTAGACCAGCTTCACACCATTTCCTCTTTAGACCAGCTTCACACCATTTCCTCTTTAGACCAGCTTCACACCATTTCCTCTTTAGACCAGCTTCACACCATTTCCTCGTTAGACCAGCTTCACGCCATTTCCTCTTTAGACCAGCTTCACACAATTGTATCCGTGACGCAACAGACATCCCCTTCCAGTGGCGATCGTGAGTTGGGTTCAGTCCCTCAGTGCGATTCCAGCAAACTCCAATATGTTTAACATGCAGCTAACAAGCTCTGACTTAACTTTGTGGAAAGTGGCTCAGGGAGAAACCGAATGCTTTTTGCTTTTATATGATTTTATTGAGTGTTTTATGGTGATGATTTCTTCGTAAAACAATGTATTAACTGGAAATAAATGAGATATATGTGAAATCGTAATGGTCGTAATGATTAAATAATTAATACATTTTGACATGATTTGACCAGTATATCCGATCACTACGACGGAGATGACAAGTCTGGTACTTTGTTACCACCACGCTTAGTCTCCGGCTCAAACAGAGGTAGTGGGGTAGCGTAGTGGTTACAGCGTTCGCTTCTCATGCCGAAGACCCGTGTTCGATTCCCCACATGGGTACACTGTGTGAAGCCCATTTCTGGTGTCCCCCGCCGCGATATTGCTGGAATATTGCTAAAAGCGGCGTAAAATCATACTCATTTCGGCTAAAACAGTTGATAAAACCTCGATCGCAAGAACAACGTGTACTGACCCCTCGAGAATTTATACATGATAAATTAATTTAGATGACAGAGTTCAGCTGGCACTGGGTGAATTAGACCGTGTGGGAACGTCGACCTTAACATGGCAGAACGAGTCCAGGTGGACATTGGCGACTGAAACTCGGTGATTGTAACAAGTGTTAATCAGAAACTGGACAAATAAGACCTTGTTTGAATTGCCTCCCTTGAACATGGATGACATCACCACCTAACTGAAAGACTGAATCCAGGAACTCTTCTCTGAAACCGAGACTCACAATGGTCAGTTCGTATTGAAAGAGGGACTTTGTGGCAAACTATCACTTTGTTGTGTGCAACATGGTAGTTTGAACATACAGGCTGCCCTATGTAAATGGTGATATTGTAAGTTTTTTTACTTTGAAACCAGGCTGTCCTGGTCTTAGAGGAATCTTCATTACAGCTTGAAGAATTGTGACACACTCATATGTCGTGTCTAGGTTAATGGTCATACCTAAGGTTGGTTTGTATACCGCCAAATTGAAGGAGGATTTAATAAAGCTTTGTACACACTATAGTCATGAGTTACCTACGAAGAAGTTCAAGGTCAGAGTGAATTAAAAAAACGTTTGCCACTTTCACGCATGTACCATTTAAGTCTTAATGCGTGCATTAAAGTAAGAGGATAATACGAATGAATAACATATGCCACATGTTTTAAATTCAGCCTAGAGACATCATATTTGATTTTTATGCAAAATAGTCCATTGGAACGTCCTTGACATTCACCATGTAGGACATATACATCTTCACAATAACTCGAGAGGCGCAGGGTGACCTTGGGTGCAATGACCTTCAATAAAATAGATCAATAAAGGTCAGTGAAATGGTCATCATGGTCGTCATGGTCATGGTTCTGCATCTATATCTGCGGGACAAACACGATGTTTGTTCGAGGCCATGACCATGTTTTCACGAGGACACAATGATTTTGTTTGTTTGACAAACAATTTTGGGATGCTTTGAAAAATGGCTGATCCGATAGGTGCTGGATTGTATTGACCAACCCTTTCTAGACTGACGCAAAGTTTCGTAGTGACAATGTGCTCAAGCATGATAGCTGATCCACCATAGTACTGTTGCAGTTTGACGCTGCACATTTGCCATTCGGACGACACAGTCAAGTAAGCGAACCGGAAGTAGATGTGGCGGATGAAGCTATTTCTACTTTGGCGCCATAATACTGACCGTAAAGAGGAAATCTATCAAGTGCTGTTTAACACAGCACATATAATCCATGATACAATATGCACAATGATACAACAATTATACAAGTTGCATGTAGCCAATTGTCATATTGGAACAGGTCGTAGGGACCGGGAATAGAATGTGTCTGAAAAAGCCTAGCTGGTCGCAGGGATGGACGCAATGGATTGTGTTGTCAGGTTGGATAACTCGGATGCCAGATGCAATCGTACTCTCAATCGGTGCTCATGACATCAATCACTAGAAAGTCTATTTACAGGCCGCCGTCATATGGTTGGAAACATGCACAGTGCTGTACTATACAACATTCACTCAATGCTAAGTAGTATTTCCTCTAGGCATGTTCATCTAACTCGGAAAGGTAAGATTTACGGCTTCAGAACAAGCGATGTAAAAATGTTTGGTCAGTCAGCGCATCACTGAGGAAAATGACATCAAACTCGATTTACTCCCTTACCCTCGGTGAAGTCCCCCCTTAACCTGTCCAGATTATCTCTTAAAGCAACGCGAGCCTCATTCACACATCAACTCAGGCACTCATCCACTCACACAACGTTCGAGGGAGAAGTTAACAAAGCCACGCTCATTGTACCTCGCTACACCATCTGCACCACGTTATCTTGACCGCTGAAGTAGCTCTCCACAAGTCGTACCCTCTACGTACGTCGGGCCACGTGATCTACGACAAGATGTCGGCAAAGGAACACAGGAAGGTTTTGGTGGCGATGGACGGGAGCGACCACTCCGTGTACGCCTTCGACTGTAAGTAAACCCAATAACAAGATATTCCACCAGCTTATCTAGACACACACCAGGTAGTTGGAACGCGTTTAGCACGTTTTTACAAGAGCCGGTTTGATCGTCGTTTTTATTTGTATTTGTTCCTCCGAGAAAACCAGCGCATTATTGCCATCGAAATGTATTTTTAGATCCATGGTTTAAACATCTAGGTAAATCAAGAGGCATGATAATGTAATATATCGGGCTGGAAGAGAGATTTGCCGTTACAGATGTTGGGAATACACACCGATCTATTTCATGATGTTGATAAGCATGTTGTTTACACTAATACCGTTATCGTGCATTACTGGCGTTAACATGCACAGATATCACATATATACATGGCCTCATCAACAGAGTGATGGCGACTACAATGTATAATGTGTCATAATATTTCCCTACATCATTTATTTGATCGATAATAATTGATCAAGTTCCTGACCTCACTATGTATTGATACGTGCTGAGCGCCATGTGGAAGCCATTTTGAACCACAGGCCGTGTGAACTGACCCATTATCGCCCGTCACGTGCAGAGATACTGGTCGCGGTAATGCTGATAATGCACTTTATAATTAGGTGCGCATGTGAAGTCGCTTCCTGTTACTAAGGCGATTACTTGAGCAACGGAACAGGTGATTTGGAAGCCTTATTTCAATTAACTGGAAATAGCTGGAAATAAATGGATACGAGGTGAAGAGATTCCGTTGAATGCCTATGGAAACTGAGAAGCATTTACTTACATAGGGGATAATATATATATATAGGAAACGAAGTTAACGCCCAACAGTGAATCAGGGTTGAGGATTTGGGAATGTATAGCTAAGCAGCCTATGGGTAAGACATGAGTCTTTAATGTGGATGTAATGGGTCCGTGAAGTGGCCGAGTGTGTGTAGCTGACCCCCAGGGATGTGTCAATGTGTTCATGACATCAACCATTGGTTTGACTATGGCAGACTTGATTATTTACATGTCGCTATGAAATACCATACCGTACTGCTGACTGTGACAATAAACACCAATAACCAAGATGTCCCTTTGGTAAAGTAAAGCATAGTGTGAGTTGTGATAAAGTGAGTGAGGTTTTACACAATATTAGCGATATTACAGCTATACGACTGTAGACTACATAAATGGGCTTTACACATTGTACCCTTGGGCTTGACGAGCGAACGTTTTGAACACAAGAGTACCCAACCACCTCATATACAGCCCTACAACCCTTAAACGTGGGTGACTAGATTAAAATCTTTCAAAGTCGCCTTCAAACACCTGTTGGTGAGGCTGAACTTCATATTTCCTTTCTGTATATACATGTATTACCTGACATACGTTACCCTCCCCGTGTCTCTGTCGCTACGTAACTTCTTCCAAGACATAGTGAGTAGTTTTCCATGTTTCGACTCCCACATTCTGCTTTAAATGCGCACGTCATCAGTGGGTGAGTGAGTGAGTAAGTGAGTAAAACTATGGTTTGACGCTGCTTTTAGCAATATTCCAGCAATATCACGGCGGGGGACACCAGAAATGGGCTTCACACACTGCATCCATGTGGGGAATCGAACCCGGGTCTTCGGCGTGACGAGCGAACGCTTTAACCACTACGCTACCCCACTGCCCGCATGACGCCATGAACAGTGGCATCGTGAGTAAATGATGACTTTGTGGTTAAACGTGTGCATTCAATAACTTTACTTGCTTCAGGGTACATGGATACTGTCCACAGGCCAGACAATGAGGTGATCATAGTTCACTGCCCGGACTACAGCGCACTGACACATTCCCGTGAGTACCGAGGATGACCTTTATTGTGAAAAGCTTGAAATCGGTTTGATTGCATATTGACGTAACATCTTTCAAGACCAAAGCTACAGGTATGGTTCTGTCCAAGGGTGTTAGTTTTTGGTGCTCTCGGCTGGTAGCTGGGGATGGTGGATAACGGACGGAAGGCAAAAGGTGTGGAGTTGGTATCGACAGCAGCTGTGTTTAGTATGGTTAGGGGACTAGTGATCGAAATGGCACATGGTAATAACGTGACAGAACGCACGGGACCGAGTAGCCAATGTTCCCGGTGAGGAGACCCGTTCTGTCCTTTACACAAATGCAGAAGTCTGACGGCGATTCTCCATCGTCGACGTAGTCGTTGGTGAGTCCACGGCCTTGGTCAACGCCACGACTAGCCGAACGATGATCTGGGCCCTTCTCCTTGACAGGAGACCGTCCTTCTGACTGATCCTATGTCAGGTTTTATAGATAGAGATATTACGGCATGTTGTAAGATCCGCCGACGTAAGGAGGTAATAACTGAAATTTACAGATTGCATTCAAGGGTCCTGCCCGGAGTGGGGTTTATGATAAGACTGAATACACCGAACTTTGCACTCTGGACATGAACTGAAACAATTAAGTATTTTGAATAATGAAGTTTTAAAGAACGTTTTGAAATAGTTTGCACTATAACGGTATCGAATGGATCCAGGGTATTTATGGCAAGAACGGACATATATTACCCTCGATTATCGAGGATGCAAAGTGACATATAGTGACTGGAATACACCGTTGTGCCGAGGTTAAAGGGACCGAGGTAAATATTTTGTGTTATCTGAGGTTTGACATAACGGTAAAATGAGTACAACATACGGTATAAGCAGGTATAAGAAATTTCGATTAAACCGTAAGTTCGACTCATCAAAGTTTGACACAACGATGTTCGAAAGTAATGTTATCTGTTACCGTTAGCAATTCTCCATTGTTTCTACGACAATGGTGTTTGTTTTCTACTGTAGAGGGTCCCATTTCACAAAGCGATCGTAGCGCTAAGGTGATCGTAACTCCCATACTTTAACATAGACTTACGACTGTCGTAGCGCTACGATCGCTTTGAGGAACGGGACCCTGGTTCGTAGACAGCCATATTCTCCACGTTGCTTCTCTTAAAGAACACAAAAAAACCTGCGGCATACACCAGTGCCACGTTTCTATGATTACCGTTAGCACATTATCTTGTTTCTATGACTGCCGTACTAAGTGCACTGTTCTATTCCTACGACAAGAACACCGTCACGTTTATGTAGCTTCTTTGTCATATTTTTGGAACAACCGTTCAGGCCTGTTTCTATATCATTTACGACTCCCAAATTATCCCATCCACTGTGATGTTGCTATGACTACCACCGTTCCCGGGATAAGGTTTACTCAGTAGCCCTGTTTATTCAACTCAGTGTGTAGAGTTGTGCGCTCGATGATGATTTTTAAATATCAGTACAAACATATACTTAGGTAAGCAATTACAGTTACCTTAACAATTACTACCAGCACCGGTACGACATTGTTGTGAGAAGGTTTCACAGTGTGCTTACATTGTCACAGTACACATGTCCACATATTCACGTAATCAACACCGCTTACGATGTTGATCACTGGATTGTCTGGTCCAGACTGTATTCCAGACCGCCGCTATATAGCTGGGTGCCGTTGTACAGAGCGATCTTAGCACTAGGGTGACCGTAACTCCCATATCTTAACATAGACTTAGTCTTAGCACTGAGTTGACCGTAACTCCCATATCTTAACATAGACTTAAGGTAGTCTTAGCACTAGAGTGACCGTAACTCCCATATCTTAACATAGACTTAGTCTTAGTGCTAAGGTTGTTTTGTACAACGGCACCCAGGAATATTGTTGGGTGCGGCGTTACTCCACAAACAAACAAACATATGCATGTGAATGTTTGTAAACTCTTGTAAGCAAATGAGTTGAACTCTTGTCGTGACGCCGTGGTCTGTTGCAGCTGTGATGTCCAGCGACCCGTCCCTGGTGGCGCAGCTGATAAAGAAGGAGGAGCAGCAGATCAACATCATCATCGCCAAGCTGAAGGAGAAACTCGCAGGATCCGGGGTGGGCTCTCACACACGCTCACACTTAAATAAGTTCGCTAGAGTAGTCTCCCTTTCTATTCACAATTCCCCCCTATCGACGTTCGGTATTTCTGGGTACTGTAGCTCACTGGTCATGACCAAAACGAGACAATGACTGCAAAATGGCTGCTTCCAGGGGTAACTGATTGTATATGATGTAGTTATATACACTATATGTATTGAACAAACGACAGGGATTTCAAATTACAACATTACAAATTTAACTGGTTTGACACTGATAATATTTCGTCAAGTTAAGCGCACCGAATGTAAGGAAGTCTTGTTTGTGCGTGGCTCTTATTCCATAAAGCATGTTGACTGCTTTACCGACTTAAGATACAAATGTTATTCGTCAAACCTTGATAAATGTGTTTTTTGTGTTTGTTTTAAATTCGTATGCTTAGACACGACACAACCTGTAACATCTGCAATCTTGAACAACTATTTCAATCGGGTTTTGTGGCGTTGTCAGGATCTAATGTAACAGTTGCATCATTTTCTGTAGTACATTATTATCATTCGGATGAAAAACGGAACACTTTCCAAAGTTGATGTCGTTTAAACTCGAAATTATTCGTAGTAAATTTGTCAAGTCGGTTATCTTGAAATCGTTGCGTGGAAACCGCCATTCTTCAGTCATTGCGTTCTGCTCAGTTTGGCTTGGTTTAACATGCATTGATCAACGACAATGTTTGTCTTCGTCCGACGGAGGCATGAGTGGCCAAGCTGTCTTGGTTGCGTACGATGAGAATGACAATCCCTGTCCACCCCAATTGTGTTTTTAGGTTTGTCAGCATCATAGCCGGGCAAGTGGGTTTCACCAAAGTAGCTGACATCATAGCTGGAATATATGTAAATAACTCGACCCCAATATGAATAACCTGGAATAGTTATCTACGCAACAGAATAACACTCATTATTCTAGTTTAACAACATATTTAGAGTTCAGTACGCCTTCCCTCTGAGTGATTGACGCAATCTCATTAATATCTGACCATAACATCCGATTTGACACCTCCTTGCATGACCTGACAAACTCCCTTTAAGATGTCCCGTCACATATACTGGTTTACCTCAAAAGGCCCATTTCTTTATGATTTGGACTTTTTCCCCAGATCAAGGGCCGTATTCTCCGTCTGACGGGCGACGCAGGGCACGCCATCGTAAAGGCGGCATTAGCGGAGCACGTGGACGTCATAGTGACCGGCACGAGAGGTCAAGGCAAGGTCAGGAGGACACTTCTCGGCAGCGTCAGTGACTACATCATACACCACTCAAACGTACCAGTGCTCATCTGTAAGAAACCACACGACGGGACAGAGGAGAAGCAATAGACTGCGTCAGGGATATCATTATACAATTGCGTCAGCGCCTACAACGGTGACAATATACAACAACGTCAGCAACATACAACAACGTCTGCAACATGAAACAGTCAAATATATCTTACCGTCAGTAATTAACTACAGTGCCAGCATATACATATCTTAAGCATACAGGAGCGTCTGCAACATCCAACGACGTCAGTAACATGCAACTACGTCAGCGATATCCAACAGTGTAAGCTGGATATACAGTGTCAGCAACACATAGTAGCGTTTAAGCAATACACTACAGTGACGGCAATACATCGTCATAACATACGCCGGCCTTGGCAACAGTTGTCGGGGTCGGCATCGTACAACAACGTCACCAACACAAAGTTTACATGTGCAGCAGTGTCAGCAACATGTACCAGCAACAGCAACATACAACAGTATCAGCAATGACCAAGGGTGCACCCACCTGATTAAATGCACAAATGTCCCTTATCCCTCAATGTGTTTACATTGTTGTTACATCGTCTGTCCGCCCGTATGTTGTTTCTTCAACAGTTCAATGAATGTTTCCAACATAACGATGGTTAACCGGTCAGACCACGGCTTTGTAGGTCTTATGTCATAATAAATGTAAATCTATCTCCAAGGTTATTGTTCTCTGTTCGAAGAATCTACACACGCATAATTACATTAGACAAGCGACGTCATCATGACCCGATGATCATCACAGCTCTACTCGGTTATGACTGCGGATAAAAATAAAGTGCACCATAGTCTGAGTTTCACTACGAATGGTTGCTAAAGTGCACCATAGTCTGAGTCTCACTACGAATGGTTGCTAAAGTGCACCATAGTCTGAGGTTCACTACGAATGGTTGCTAAGGTGCACCATAGTCTGAGTTTCACTGCGAATGGTTGCTCAAGTGCACCATAGTCTGAGTTTCACTACGAATGGTTGCTAAAGTGCACCATAGTCTGAGTCTCACTACGAATGGTTGCTAAAGTGCACCATAGTCTGAGTCTCACTACGAATGGTTGCTAAAGTGCACCATAGTCTGAGTCTCACTACGAATGGTTGCTAAAGTGCACCATAGTCTGAGTCTCACTACGAATGGTTGCTAAAGTGCACCATAGTCTGAGTTTCACTGCGAATGGTTGCTAAAGTACACCATAGTCTGAGTTTCACTGCGAATGGTTGCTAAAGTGCACCATAGTCTGAGTTTCACTACGAATGGTTGCTAAAATGCACAATAGTCTGAGGTTCACTACGAATGGTTGCTAAAGTACACCATAGTCTGAGTTTCACTGCGAATGGTTGCTAAAGTACACCATAGTCTGAGTTTCACTACGAATGGTTGCTAAAAGTGCACCATAGTCTGAGTCTCACTACGAATGGTTGCTAACGTGCACCATAGTCTGAGTCTCACTACGAATGGTTGCTAAAGTGCACCATAGTCTGAGTCTCACTACGAATGGTTGCTAAAGTGCACCATAGTCTGAGTCTCACTACGAATGGTTGCTAAAGTGCACACCATAGTCTGAGTCTCACTACGAATGGTTGCTAAAGTGCACCATAGTCTGAGTTTCACTGCGAATGGTTGCTAAAGTACACCATAGTCTGAGTTTCACTGCGAATGGTTGCTAAAGTGCACCATAGTCTGAGTTTCACTACGAATGGTTGCTAAAATGCACAATAGTCTGAGGTTCACTACGAATGGTTGCTAAAGTACACCATAGTCTGAGTTTCACTGCGAATGGTTGCTAAAGTACACCATAGTCTGAGTTTCACTACGAATGGTTGCTAAAGTGCACCATAGTCTGAGTCTCACTACGAATGGTTGCTAAAGTGCACCATAGTCTGAGTCTCACTACGAATGGTTGCTAAAGTGCACCATAGTCTGAGTCTCACTACGAATGGTTGCTAAAGTGCACCATAGTCTGAGTTTCACTGCGAATGGTTGCTAAAGTACACCATAGTCTGAGTTTCACTACGAATGGTTGCTAAAGTACACCATAGTCTGAGTCTCACTACGAATGGTTGCTAAAGTGCACCATAGTCTGAGTCTCACTACGAATGGTTGCTAAAGTGCACCATAGTCTGAGTCTCACTACGAATGGTTGCTAAAGTGCACCATAGTCTGAGTCTCACTACGAATGGTTGCTAAAGTGCACCATAGTCTGAGTCTCACTACGAATGGTTGCTAAAGTGCACCATAGTCTGAGTCTCACTACGAATGGTTGCTAAAGTGCACCATAGTCTGAGTCTCACTACGAATGGTTGCTAAAGTGCACCATAGTCTGAGTCTCACTACGAATGGTTGCTTAAAGTGCACCATAGTCTGAGTCTCACTACGAATGGTTGCTAAAGTGCACCATAGTCTGAGTCTCACTACGAATCCTTGCTAAAGTGCACCATAGTCTGAGTCTCACTACGAATGGTTGCTAACGTGCACCATAGTCTGAGTCTCACTACGAATGGTTGCTAAAGTGCACCATAGTCTGAGTCTCACTACGAATGGTTGCTAAATGATACCATAGTCAACAGAGTTGAGTACGTTCTGGGGAACTGAGTTGTACGGAAAGAATTCCTAGCGCTCAGCCACCTTGTAAAGTCTCCTCTTCCTACCGCCTTCATCCCAACATTGACACAGAGAGGAAACGGTACAGTGTTATTAACTTGGAACATTGTTACACAGTGAACATATCTTCACATTTTAGCCTTTAAGGCCAAACGTCAGGCGGCGTAACAACAAGTACCATATTTTATGCTGGGGATCGAACCTTCGCAGCGACACTCTATCCATTAGACTAAGGAGCAGTACATGTCGTGTACTTACAATCAAACTGTGAAGGCATTTGTCACTGATTATACTTCGGGACGCAATGTTGTGTATTCATATATTGATTATCATTATTATGATTGCATAACCATATCTGGGTTTATTGCAAGACTCCCTTTGCAATTGATGAGATTAAACATCGTGAAAGTGTCATTACGATCTGTTGGGTGTCGCGAGCAATAATAAATCGTATGTATGAAGTGCTGAAATGCCAGAACTATCTGAATTAGAAAAATAAATCGATCTTGTTACAAATTGTGCCGGAACTCCTTTCAATCTGCATCGGTGAGGCACGCGCGTGTGTGCGTGCGTGTGCTTGTTTGTGTGTGTGTTTGTGTTTGTGTTTGTGTGTGTTTAACTGTTAGTAATGATGAGTGATATATGTAGTTGGTGATATGCGCGTGACAGACACCGATAACGTTTCAATAATAACATTCATATTCTGCACATCACCTGAGAGCGAGAATATTTACACACGATTACCCCACATAAGCGTCCACGCATACCGGCAGTTAATCAAATTCAGTCATTCAGTTGCTCTGGCACTATCCCTTGATACCGAACATTCCCCAACAGACTGCCGGCTCCACCGTCGGCCTGCACGGACTGCAGTACTATAATCTCGGACAGTACACGGACGTTCGTTCATGTTGACCAACTTCTTTGGAGCGTTATCGCATCGTGGATTATTCAGGTCAGTTTGAAGGAAGCAGACGACATTCACTGTTAAACATGGCGGCACACCCACATCCAGCTCGGCGAGTTGTGATAGCTATGGATGGAAGCGATTACTCGGTGAGGGCGTTTGAATGTGAGTACATGTTAGTCTGAATTCACCTGTTCTGTCTAGTGCGATATACGTCTAGGGCAGTATGCGTCCCGAACAGAACGTCTGTGTACACCTGTCTCGTCTACCTATCTTCATGTGGTAATTATGTTTACATTGGGAACCTGTTGCACGGACCAGCGGGAAGATGCAGGCGTGTGATGACACAAGAGTATTGCTTTGCGGCGTTAGCCAACAACCACTTACTTTTTTAAAGAAAAATATATGTGTGGTGGTGCTACCGGTAGAACAGGACACCCTTACCCTTCTCACGAACACCTGGTGTTATCGCGCTTATTGTCAGTGATCCATTCATATAAGGTTAGCAGCTGTTTTGCCTTTCACGAAATAATACAGACAAATAAAAGAAATCACAGTGGTAGTACATATAATGAGTGTAATGGAATCTGTTTCTGGTTATTTCCTGGTGTTGACATATGTTTATGAATAATGTCCGGACTGAAATAGAACATACTCCCTCATGAGATTAGTCCGTTACTGATTCAATCGTTGATAATCATAACTCCCCTTTGGTGCGAGAAGGTCTCCTTATGTAGGAGTGTAGTAGATACTGTATCACCTTCCCCAGGCAGATCTGAGGTGGGATTGACAGTGATGAGGGTACTGTCCCCGGTGTAGGGCTGCAGTATATGCCCTGAGTGAGTGAGTTTAGTTTAGCACCGCTTTTAGCAATATTCCAGCAATATCACGGCGGGGGACACCAGAAATCGGCTCACACAATGGACCCATGTGGGGAATCGAACCCGGGTCTTCAGCGCGACGAACGAACGCTCTAACCACTGTTCTACCCCACCTCCAGATAGCCTTTGAAAAACACAGGTGCAGTGCATTTGTAGTATTTTCCTCAAATGAAAGGATGGAAACCACCTGTACGGGGGCAGACCATATATATAGAAAATATACTACTCACACTTTGCTAAGGATCACAAAAATTGCCAACTTTACTTATACATAGATTTATAATTTGAAAGTGTATCCATTTAAAACTGCATAAATAATGATATGGTAACCCCTCTTTAGGCAAACAGTCACTTTAATCTCACCTAATGCACTTGATACATGAGTACACGATAAAAATGGTTTTCATGGCGCCAATCAACCATTTTGCAAATTATGGCACTAGTGATTGACAAGTACACAACACCTGTCAGGTATGGGATCCACAAGATGCAGTTACATACTGGAACCTACGATCCTTGCTTACAATAAGCTTAAATATTTAAACCAAATTAGACCCCACATCATAGTTTTCTGTTGAATCAATGATTTGATCCCTAGCAAAGTGTGAATAGTATACATATATGCACTAAGTGTATTTCACTATTGCACGGGTGAGATACAAGCCTGGTATATACATGTTGTGTGAGAAGGGCACCTAGCACGTGGGAGGTACAGGTCAGCCCTAGTGAGAAAAGGATCACCTATATATACACGAACGTACACAGATATATAACGAGGCGCAGTATTCAGTATATGCTCTCCCTGGCCTTTAACAACGATTGTCGTCCAGCTTGATTTGGTACATAGCGCGTGAACTAATCCATCAATATATCTTGTTAATACGTTGGCCACACAGCCTATTATTTGCCAGCTTATCGATGAATTGTCTGTTCTGGACTTCTGTCTTGCATGTATGCTGATTTACTGCGAGCCGGATTGTATGCTGATTTACTGCGAGCCTGATTGAATTGGATTGAGTCGTCACGGTTAGAAGCATTCTGTTCGTGAAGTCTCTTTTTTCTGTGTGATATGGAGATGATAGTGTAGTGTGTTTATTAATTAAACATCCCTGGTTTTAACGTTATGTCATACCTTGAGATCACACACCGTGACTGCAGTAATCCATAACTATATCACAATACATTCTTTCTCTGCAATATGGACAGGAACCTTTACATAACAATTGTGGCGAGTACTGCGGTTGATTTGCTGCTCATTCATTAAGGGTCACAATGACTTCTCTTTAAGAGTAAGGGTATGTAGGGTAGCCCAGTGGTTAAAGCGTTTTTTCGTCACACCAAAGGCCCGGTTCGATTCCCGACATGGGTACAGTGCATGAAACCTATTTCCGGTGTCTCCCGCCGTGATATTACTGGAATGTTGCTAAAAGCGGCGTAAAACTCAACTCGCTCATTTACTTTAAGAGTATCTGCTTGGCCTGTGTTGTACTGAAATACGCTAAGAGATAGTTCTCGTTGTTTCCTGTCTGGCAATTGGCGGTAAGGGTCTAAAACAAGTCCTGATTGGTTTGAAGTCAGTACACTGTGCCTGTTTGGGTTATTCATATTGGCATATCAGTTGGCTCCGCTATACAATCAGCATAAACCCGGACCTGCTCAATCACGCACAGGGGCGGTGGGGCTAGCCTAATGGTTAAAGCGTTCGCTCGTCACGCTGAACACCTGGGTTCGATTCCACACATGGGTACAATGTGTAAAGCCCATTTCTGGTGTCCCCCGCCGTGATATTGCTGGAATATTGCTTAAAGACGCGTAAAACTAAAAACTCACTCATCAATCACTCACGCAATCGCACACGCACACTAAGCAAGAATTCATTTCGACCCACCTCACCTACTTCTTTGGGGACCCCAAGTTTTATATTTCCGCTGAGAAGTCGGGATTACTGCTAATACAACATCAGATGAAGGGATTCGGACCATAGTAGCTGCACGGCCAACATTTCCTAAGTGGTGGATGGAAACTTGTTTCAGAAAAGATGCTTAATTCTGTGGTCGATACACGATCAATATCCCCACACCATGACACAATGACATGGACACAACTGTAGACAGCCAGCAATATAACATGATACAGGCTTCCTATCTCCTGTCCGCCATTACCCTGGACAGTTGGCCATGCAGAACTGACCACAGAGAAATCATTCTTCCACTGTCTAACTCTTCAGACACGTTCCTCGAGGTCTTCTAAGCCTGAGCATGAACACAACGATGGTTTTCAACATGTTCTTTAACGCCTTTTGTGTTTATTTTTAAATTACTGTAGGCTGGCTATACAACCCCAGCTTACAATACCAATTTCCTTAATGTCCTATTGTGTCTGGAGGTGGAAGTGGTTACCAGAAACAAAATGAGTTTTGTTTTACGTTGCTTTCAACAGCAATCCATTTAACATCAGGTTGGTAAGTGTGTGTTTAGTGTGTTTTCAATTGTATTCCGTCTATTGGTTGACTTGTTTCCATATGAATAAATGATTGTTGTGAAACACAGGGCGATTGTAGCTGTACAACCATTGAATGTCAGTGTAGATTATAAGCTGCCGAAGTTGATCGTGGCTCTCTGCTCGCTTTTATGCAAGCTGGTTTATCTGCCGTACTAGGTTCCATTAGGCGTAAAAGGGGAATATTGGTGGAAATAATATGATTGGGACACTTGTTCTTTGCTCGCGAGGTTGTGGTAAAGCAGCCCAAGCTGAGAGTTAACACAGTGAACTCCACATATTGGCGTATCCTGCATTCTCCCTCGGAATCCCAGTGAACTGATTCTGGCAAACTAGTCCAGACTATTACCATAAGGAGTTCTTCAAATTGTTTGCGGCTGACGGACCCATTAAGTTCTGGTTGACATGAAGAATATTAAACGTAAAATCCGCTCATCAGTCCGACAGAAACAAGAAATTCTCACCAAGTGATTCATGTGTTTTATACTGAGTGTGTTGTTAGTGCTGCTGTATCAATGCTTCTGATCTTCCATTGTCCTAATTATATGAAGGCAATGAACTGTGTGAAGCTTGTATATTTGACCTATCAATAAAATGCAAATAATCTCTCTTTCATGTCAGGGAAAAAGCCAATTCTTTTATACGGCTGGGAAATCTGGCATATGGTATGTTTTTGGGCTCAACTCTTTTTTAGCAAAGAAAGCTGTCAAGAATTCTATATCCAATGTTATAGAACGAAGTCTGTATAAACAATAGCCTTCAAAATTCATTTCGTGGAGGCCATTTTTACTGAAACTGACTATACCTTTTACTGGTTACATTACGAGGCTGTCTCTCTCAAAGTACCTTAATCTATTATTCCCTTAACATTAAAGGATATATCAGCTCAACCACAGCGAGCAGAGATTTCAAATTCCTTTAAAGTTTGGAATCGCATATTCAGAACTGAACTTGTGCTTGAAACTTCTGTAACATCCATGTCCATCCCTTTCTGTTTGGTTGTTAAATTCCACTTATTTAGAACTTCTTGTCGTCGTTTACCTTTAGAACTAAGTAAGTGAACCCCCATAAATGAAATAATCTGTGACATGTGTGATGTTGGCGATGAATTTCGATATACATTTTCTTTGAGCTTTCTTCAAATATCATCGGAAAACATATGTCCCAAACTGCTATGCTTAAAAACCCAGTGTGTTAAAATTTAAAGAACTGTTTAAACTCCGTACATTCTGTAACATCGTCCATGGAACCATCCCGCCATTCTAAGAATACTTCACTGTAGATGTGTACCTCATGCCGACTGTCCGGGAGTTCTATTATGTTGGGTTGTGAAGCTTCCTTCGTCATTGCATTGTGCCAGTACTTGAACAGATCGTTTGCTATTGTTCGTGACGTCACAGGCTATTTGAGATGACGTTGATGCAGATATTGGTGGAACTGTTGTCTCTACAAATAGGAAAAGCCGCATTTTCTATATTTTGATAGAAAGCGAATAATGCTGCTTCTGTGCCAATGTGCCAATTTCCAATGCCAATGTCTTTCTTTTCCCTCGCTAATTTCTGTTCTCATAACTTGACATTTAGAGTTAGCTTTTCCTGTTTTGCTCATAGACGAAAACACGTGTTCCCCTCACAAAATGCACTGTAAGCATAAATTCCTACCCTGTGTACTTCAGTGGGTGTAAGTCGGAATAAGGAAGAACTTATTACAACTCGTCTATATTTAGCCGCCACAGCTTCTCTTAAATGAACATTGCGTAGGCTTGTAAAATAATAGTATTACATT